CCTAAATCTTGGGCTAATCGTGATGACTACAAGGCTGCTTGTAAGATTGTTCGTGCTATGAAAGTGGTTAATGACTGTGCAAAACGGGCAATTAAATTAGCCACTGACTTTAATGAAGTTTTGACAAAAAATGACAATCAGCGTCAGCTTCTTTACCAAGTAGTTGAGTATCAAAGAAAAAAAATTTCAACTGAAGCTACAAAAAGGCAGTTAAGCCATAATCATTCTAAATAACAGCAATTTAATCTATTCAAATATGCATACATATAACATGAACTAAATACTAATAAATGTATATAGTTAAGTACATATACGGCTATTATTTTTCTGTAGTATTTTAATTTAGTAATATGTCAAGGTTTGATTAAATTATGTATGTTATTTTATTAGAATAATTTTAAATGTTGTTATTTGTAATATGCTTTCTTGATCGTATAAAATCATATTTTTCATTCTTTTAAAATTTTTGTTTGAGTACATTATTTTTTGTTATTTTTTAATTTATAAATTTGAATTAGGGCTGAGTTAAAAATGACCAGTAGAGGGGCATATGGGGATCTAGTTTGGGGCATATGGGCCACTAGTACTCACAATTTAAAAAATTGAAGAAATGTTAAAAAATAAGAATCTTTTTTAAGTTGTTATAACAGCTTTTTGTATTTTTCTCAAAAGAGCTTTGAAAACAGGTCTGGCACATCGCGTTCCTAGGGTGGAGTCTGGGAATAGGTCATTGCTATATACATTCTTATAATTTTTTTAACCCTTATAAATGAAACTGATGCATGTAACACTGATACTTATTGAATTTAGTACATTTTAGAAATGTCATTTTGGTAAAAAACGGGGTTCTAAAGGGCTTACAAACCAGGTGTGGGGGACCATTTCCCATCATCAGTTTGAAAAAAAAATTTTTCAGTGAATTTTTTTTATTGAACCTCACCAAATAAGAGGGTGTGCGATATCAAATTTATATATATATATATATATATATATATATATATATATATATATATATATATATATATATATATATATATACATATATATATATATATATATATATATATATATATATATATATATATATATATATATATATGTAATATATATATATATATATATATATATATATATATATATATATATATATATATATATATATATATATATATATATACTTTTTGTTGTTGTATTACAATTATACTTCGCATATAGAATATTGATCTGAAACTATAGGAAAGATAATTAGAATGTTTTATAAAGAATTTTGTCCAATAATAACGTCGATTATCTTTAGTTATAACTAGAGCGTGAAATCAAATTCGAAGTTATATGGTGATTCAACTTACGAAATTTAATGCAACTTATTACGTAGGCATCAAGTTAATTCTTTTTAATGTGTATATTTAAGAAAATTTAATTTTTTTACTCCTGTTTTTTCAGTGGCGTAACTTCAAATTATATAATGGTGAAGACATATTCATTAGAGGAAGCATTTAGTTAAAAAAACATAAAATATTAATTTAAGTGTTATTTTATGTGGTTATTTACACGTTAATTTTACATGTGTTCCAGAACGTTATTTTGCATTTTTTATTAATCAACTTTCTAACGCTACTATTGTTTTAAATTAACTTTATTGACTTCCATTTTAAAATATATTATTTTATTTAGCAATGTTTTTTTCAGACTTTTAAAAACAATTTAACGTAAGTCTAATCATAAGCTTTTATGCATCAAAAACAGTTTTCAATAAACCAGTTTCAGTTTTCAGATAAACCAACCTCCAATATCCTCCAAACATTTGATTATTTAAACCTCATACTAAATGTATGCAAATAGCCATGCATCATAAATATTTTGAAACATACTGCAATTAAAAAAAGTTATAACAAAACATTGGTCTTTGGTCAATGGTCAGTTGATATGAAATAAAAAGTTAAACACTAGTAGTACTGTAACATATAACCAAAATGAGATTGCAGATATTCTAAACAACAAGTTTCATAACGCCTTTGTAAACGAAAGCAACACAATGCCAGTAATATCAGATAAACCAATAAGTTACACACTTGATATAAATGACAATTTTATTGATTACATGGATATTCTGAATCGACTTGAAACACTAAATACATACAATGCATGTGGTGCAGACAATTTACATCCTATTTTGTTAAAGGAATGTTTTGATTCCGTGCCCTAGAGACTTATGTTAAAATTGATATAGAATAAAAGAAAAAATTTTAAGCTGGATTAATGCGTTTTTGAATAATCGAATACAAAGAGTGGTTCAAGGTGATGCAGTGTCAACATGGAGAAACGTATTAAGTGGTGTTCCACAGGGATCCATTCTAGCGCCATTCCTTTTTGTAGTATACATCAATGACTTACCAGAGAAAATCAAAAGCACTGTAAAAATGTATGCAGATGACACCAAAATCTTATCAGCAGTAAACTCAATTGAGGACGCTAATTTAGTTCAAAGAGATTTAAACAATATAAAAGAGTGGTCAGAAAAATGGATAATCAAACTGAACGAGAGTAAATGTGTGGTTATGCATTACGGTAAAAATAGCATAAAATTCAATTACACAGTTAATGGATCAGAAATTAACAATTCGACAAATGAACGTAATCTCGGTGTAAACTTTGATACATCACTGAAATGGAAGAAACACATAGTAATATGTTCATCAAAAGAAAATGCAATTATAGGGATTATAAAAAATACCTTTGTCCATTTAGATCATCATCTTGTCAAGCAATTATATACAATTTTTTTTAGACCACTAATTGAATTTGCAGCACCAGTTTGGTCTCCAAACTATAAAGTTAACATCGACATATTAAAAAAAGTGCAGCACAGAATGACAAGGATGGCAAAGAACATAAGAAGTCTGCAGTACCAATACCGTTTACAGACACTAAATTTAACGACATTGTCAGAAAGAAGACAAAGAGGAGATCTTATCCAAGTATTAAATTTTTAAAAAATCGAAAAAGTAGAACTTTTAAACAAACAAACTTTCTCAAAATCACACAGAGGTCACAATAAGAAATACAGTAGAGAACAAACCAAGTTTATGCCAAGACACGAGTTCCTTATAGACAGAACTGCAAATTTATGGAATGCATTACTATCAGAAGTCGTCAATTCAACAAACGTAAATAATTTCAAAAACAAATAAGATGTATATTTAGCATCAAAAAATTAACTTATAAACTATTTTTGTTTAAATTTTTCAAATTGAATTGTTGTATATTATCAAAAGCTGTCAAAGTGAGTTTTTAACTATTAAAGTTTTAAACAACAATTAAACATAAAATTATCAACGCGTTGATAATTTTATGTTTAATTATTTGACCGACTTTTTCAAACAAACCAATAAAAAATGACAAGTTCTCCCGTGCAGAACTTTTAATTGAACCAAATTGAAATAATTTTCAGATTTAAAAACAAGCGCTTTTTTGCCTGGAATCCCTCCCTACAGTAGGACAAAATCGAGTTTTTTATGTCTAAATTGTTTTCGTAGTTTTTCTTTTATTAGAATAGTATATTTATATATAAACTGAATAAAAAACGTAATAGACATGTAATTATACACTAGTCAATTCTAGGTCGTTTAGGTTGAAAATTTGATTACTTAAAAAAAATTATTACAAAGTTTTCAGGACTATTATACAGACAATATTATGAAAAGAACAAATTATTTGGTGTACGTCCTGATGAGAAAATCAATTTTTAAAGGGGATCTGGGCAACTTTTCCCCCTCCCCTTGCCCCCCTTTATTTATTTAAAAAAAATAATTATGCTATCTTTAGAAAAATCAAGCATCAGTTACATATTCAAAAATTCAATAAAAAATATCTTGGCGTTCAAAAGATATAACCATTTAAAGTAAAACTAGTCAAAGTGTTACTATATTTAATATGTATGCTTTAGTTAAAAATCTAACATATTTATTATTTATTTGCATTAAAACTAGCATAATTAACATAGTTAACATGCCAAACAAACCAAGGGATTATTTTTCTTCAAGAAAACTTATTTGTGTTTGCTGTGGTGATAAGAATTTAAAATGCATTGAACTGGTAACTGGAAATCCTTTACTAATCTTGATTCAACTGTATGCCAACACTAACTATAATATGACACTTCTTTCCAACCCTATTGGGTTATGTCCAACCTGCAAGATTTATTTGTACTCAGCTAAAAAAGGAGAAACTTTATCACTAGTTACTTTGGAGAGGTGGTTGCTTACATCAGAGAGAATAAAGTTACTTCCGAGATTTAAAGGTAATACTTTTACTTATACTTAATTATGCATATAACAAAAGCTATAAATAATATGAATAAACATTTGTTTATATATATAAATATAGGTGAGACAGTGTCAACATGTGATTGCCTGCTCTGTATCATGTCAAGAGATAAATCCCAATCTATAAACCTTCAGGTAATTTATAAAGAACTCATATATGTAGCTCAATTATTTACGTAAAAAACATTTATAAAATTATAACTTTTATTATAATTTAATTAACTATATTTTAAATAAGTATAGTTTTTTATTTATTTAGGATGTATTAAACATGTACATTAATGACCCTGAAGTACCAAAGGAGGTCATAGATAAAATTTGTTGTACTTGTTTTTAAAGAATTGGATCTGGAATTCAACATCCCTGTAATAAGAGAGACATTGTACAGAACCTAAAAACACTGCTAATATCAACAGGTAAGAGTTTAATTATAGTTTTTTTAAACTAAATTTTTACGTAATCCTAAAACATATTTACAAATTTTCAGGTTTAAAAACAGTTGAGCAAGTACTTGGCAAATCTCTGAAAGAAATTCAACAATTTAAAAATATTGAGTTAGATAACACTATTACTTTGTCGACTGGAGGAACTCCTTTAAGTCTCCAGATAAGGAAAAAGCCAACCCTTAAAACTATCTCTACCCAAACTTTCTATAATATCAAAAGAAAGCATGATATGTCAGACTATACTATTGATTCAATAGCAATGGAATTAAGAAAAGATTTGGGTAGATTAGGTGTGGAATCTAATTCTTCCAAAAAAATTAAGATAATGTCACATGCCTTAAATAACTATTACTCAGTGGAAAAAGTGGAATTTCTATCCAAAAAGAAAGTTAAAGAAAGTAAAACTATTGAAACTGTCATTAAAGATCTAGTGTATGTCAAAGATCCAGTATCTCTAGTTAATCATGTTTGCATTGCTAGGGGACTAGAAGTCGAGAACGTTATTATTCGTATAAGAATAGATAGTGGCCAAGGATCTTTAAAAATTATTATTAATGTTTTTAACAGAGAAGTAAATTATGACTCCAAAGAAACCAAGAATACTGGAGTGAACAAAGTTATAATATTGGCTTTTGCCAAAAATGTTTGCGAAAGCCACACAAATCTTCAAATTCTTATAGAAAAAACAAAGCTAAACAATTTAAAGTTTTACCTTGCTGCAGATCTTAAATTATGCAACATAGTTTTGGGTTTGTCAGGACATGGGGGAAAATATTCGTGTTTATTTTGTGATGGTGATAAAACTAATCTTGGAGAACTGAGAACTTTTAATATGCTTAAGAACACGTATAAAAACTTTGCTGAAAGTGGATTTAAAAAAAGCTCCATGCAACTCTATAAGAATGTTATACATCCATGTCTCCTGGTTGAGTCTGGAGAGATGTATGTGCTTGATGTCATCCCTCCTCCAGAACTTCATTTAATGATGAAGATTATAACAGAAATTTCAAATGTCTTCTGTAAGGAACCTGATGTTGCTCTTTGGTTAAAAAAGCATGGAATTATTTGGCATGGGTATAATGGAGGTGGACTGGATGGTAGAAATGCTAACAAAATACGAAAGCTTTTGCCAAATTTGGAAAAATTTATCTTAGATAACTTTTCTTCTTATTATCCAGTTGTTGAACTGTTAAAGTCTTTTTCTTCAGGTAAGTTTTAAATATACTTAATTTTACAAAGTATTTATATATTAAAAGTTAATTATGGTTTAAAAAGAAATATTTATTGAATCAAAAGCAATTTCTCACAAATGACACTAAAATTTACATTTAGTAGTAAACATGTGTTTCGGAATGAAACTCCATGACGGTTATGCTGATGCCATTGCAACATATATAAGGAAGTTAAAGGTAATAGTTACATAAATGCATAAACAACTCATACATTTAAAAATAAAGTTTTAATTTTGTTTATATTAACCATTTTTTAAATAATTAATTTAGGAAAACCAAGAGTATGTGAAGACTACATTCAACCACAATCTTTCTATGGGATGGAAAGGTCATATAATTGAACACCATCTTGTCATGTTTTTAAATAGAACTAAGCTGCCATTGGGAGTATTTTCTGAACAATGTTCTGAATCTGTTCATCATAATATGTTGAAAACACTGAGCAGATTCTCAACTTCAGAATTCAGAGAGAACCATGGAGAGCTTCTTAGAAAGGCAATAGTTGAATATTCAAGTCATAGAATTTAAGTTTTTTCTTTGCTATTGATTACATAATTATACATATCTTGTATACTATATAGTTTTGAAGATTACATTAAATCAGTATATATTATGGATTATATTATACTGTTTCAGAGTATATATATATATATATATATATATATATATATATATATATATATATATATATATATATATATATATATATATATATATATATATATATATATATATATATATATATATATATATATATATAGCAGATGATTTTACATTTTTCCATGAAATAAAATATAATTTTATTATTTTATACAATGTTATACAATAATATTGCAGATTATATTATATATTTTACATTACAGATTATGCAATAATATTGCAGGCTTTATTATATCATGAGTATTACACTATATTTTAATGTAAAGTAAACTTAATTTTTTGTAGTTTTATTTTAAATGGTTATATCTTTTGAACGCCAAGATATTTTTTATTGAATTTTTGAATATGTAACTGATGCTTGATTTTTCTAAAGATGGCATAATTTTTTTTTTTTTAATAAATAAAGAGGGGCAAGGGGAGGGGGAAAAAGTTGCCCTGATCCCCTTTAAAAATTGATTTTCTCATCAGGACGTACACCAAATAATTTGTTCTTTTCATAATATTGTCTGTATAATAGTCCTGAACACTTTGTAATAATTTTTTTTTAAGTAATCAAATTTTCAACCTAAACGACCTAGAATTGACTAGTGAACGATATCAGCAATAAAAAACTTATTGTCATAAATTACTTAGTGCAAATGTTGGTAAAAGTTTTTAAAAACTTTTACCAACATTTGCACTAAGTAATTTATGAAAATAAGTTTTTTATTGCTGATATCGTTAGTAGCAAAAAAAATATCGAAAACTGTCTGTTTTCGATGCACAAAAACTAATGATTAGACTTACGTCAAAAAAAAACATTGCTAATTAAAATAATATATTTTAAAATGACAGTCAATAAATTTAATTTAAAACAAAAGTAGCGTTAGAAAGTTGATTAATAAAAAATGCAAAAAAGCGTTTTAGAACACATGTAAAATTAACGTGTAAATAACCGCATAAAATAACGCTTAAATTAATATTTTATGTTTTTTTAACTAGATACTTGCTCTTTTGAACATGTCTTCACCATTATGACAAATTTTCACCGTGCTATTCCGACATTGAATTTTGACACAATCTGAAGTAGAAACAGAAGTAATAATCATAAACAAAAAAAAAAAATTTTTTTTGTTTATGATTATTACTTCGGTTTTCGAAGTTTTTTAAAACTGTAAGCTAAGATGTAAGAATGGAAGGTAAGAGGTAAAAACGTAAGGTAAGAGAAAAGAACGGAAGGTAAGAGATAAGAACGGAAAAACAGTAATAGTCAGAGGTAAAAAAAATTTTAAAACAAAAACAGTTGCGAAATTATGGGACTTTAACTGCAGGGGGGCGCACAGTGGGAAGAGTGTGTCAAAATTCAATGTCGGAATAGCACGGTGAAAATTTGTCATAATGGTGAAGACATATTCAAAAGAGCAAGTATCTAGTTAAAAAAACATAAAATATTAATTTAAGCGTTATTTTATGCGGTTATTTACACGTTAAATTTACATGTGTTCTAAAACGCTTTTTTTGCATTTTTTATTAATCAACTTTCTAACGCTACTTTTGTTTTAAATTAAATTTATTGACTGTCATTTTAAAATATATTATTTTAATAAGCAATGTTTTTTTTTTTGACGTAAATCTAATCATTAGTTTTTGTGCATCGAAAACAGACAGTTTTCGATATTTTTTTGCTACTAACATTTACTATTAGCTATCAGATAATCCAACCTCCAATATCCTCCAAACATTTGATTATTTAAATCTAATGCTAAATGTATGCAAATAGCCACGCATCATAAATATTTTGCAACGTATTGCAATAAAAAAAGTTATAACAAAACAATGGTCTTTGGTTAATGGTCAGTTGATAAGAAATACTGAACCTGTAAAAAAGATGTTTCGTACACAAAGAATATATACAAAATGTTTCATTACTGTTATAATATATAAGTTCTGTAAATATAAATATAAATAAGTTATTTTATGACATATACATGTATTGAAAAGTAATATTTTTGATGTTTACACTGATAAAAGTTGTCTTGTCCATTAAAAATATTTCGTATATTTCACCAAAATTTTATTTTTAAAATTTTTTTTAATATTATATACACTAGTCAATTCTAGGTCGTTTAGGTTGAAAATTTGATTACTTAAAAAAAAATTATTACAAAGTGTTCAGGACTATTATACAGACAATATTATGAAAAGAACAAATTATTTGGTGTACGTCCTGATGAGAAAATCAATTTTTAAAGGGGATCAGGGCAACTTTTTCCCCCTCCCCTTGCCCCTCTTTATTTATTAAAAAAAAAAAAATTATGCCATCTTTAGAAAAATCAAGCATCAGTTACATATTCAAAAATTCAATAAAAAATATCTTGGCGTTCAAAAGATATAACCATTTAAAATAAAACTACAAAAAATTAAGTTTACTTTACATTAAAATATAGTGTAATACTCATGATATAATAAAGCCTGCAATATTATTGCATAATCTGTAATGTAAAATATATAATATAATCTGCAATATTATTGTATAACATTGTATAAAATAATAAAATTATATTTTATTTCATGGAAAAATGTAAAATCATCTGCTATATATATATATATATATATATATATATATATATATATATATATATATATATATATATATATATATATATATATATATATATATATATATATATATAATATATATATATACTCTGAAACAGTATAATATAATCCATAATATATACTGATTTAATGTAATCTTCAAAACTATATAGTATACAAGATATGTATAATTATGTAATCAATAGCAAAGAAAAAACTTAAATTCTATGACTTGAATATTCAACTATTGCCTTTCTAAGAAGCTCTCCATGGTTCTCTCTGAATTCTGAAGTTGAGAATCTGCTCAGTGTTTTCAACATATTATGATGAACAGATTCAGAACATTGTTCAGAAAATACTCCCAATGGCAGCTTAGTTCTATTTAAAAACATGACAAGATGGTGTTCAATTATATGACCTTTCCATCCCATAGAAAGATTGTGGTTGAATGTAGTCTTCACATACTCTTGGTTTTCCTAAATTAATTATTTAAAAAATGGTTAATATAAACAAAATTAAAACTTTATTTTTAAATGTATGAGTTGTTTATGCATTTATGTAACTATTACCTTTAACTTCCTTATATATGTTGCAATGGCATCAGCATAACCGTCATGGAGTTTCATTCCGAAACACATGTTTACTACTAAATGTAAATTTTAGTGTCATTTGTGAGAAATTGCTTTTGATTCAATAAATATTTCTTTTTAAACCATAATTAACTTTTAATATATAAATACTTTGTAAAATTAAGTATATTTAAAACTTACCTGAAGAAAAAGACTTTAACAGTTCAACAACTGGATAATAAGAAGAAAAGTTATCTAAGATAAATTTTTCCAAATTTGGCAAAAGCTTTCGTATTTTGTTAGCATTTCTACCATCCAGTCCACCTCCATTATACCCATGCCAAATAATTCCATGCTTTTTTAACCAAAGAGCAACATCAGGTTCCTTACAGAAGACATTTGAAATTTCTGTTATAATCTTCATCATTAAATGAAGTTCTGGAGGAGGGATGACATCAAGCACATACATCTCTCCAGACTCAACCAGGAGACATGGATGTATAACATTCTTATAGAGTTGCATGGAGCTTTTTTTAAATCCACTTTCAGCAAAGTTTTTATACGTGTTCTTAAGCATATTAAAAGTTCTCAGTTCTCCAAGATTAGTTTTATCACCATCACAAAATAAACACGAATATTTTCCCCCATGTCCTGACAAACCCAAAACTATGTTGCATAATTTAAGATCTGCAGCAAGGTAAAACTTTAAATTGTTTAGCTTTGTTTTTTCTATAAGAATTTGAAGATTTGTGTGGCTTTCGCAAACATTTTTGGCAAAAGCCAATATTATAACTTTGTTCACTCCAGTATTCTTGGTTTCTTTGGAGTCATAATTTACTTCTCTGTTAAAAACATTAATAATAATTTTTAAAGATCCTTGGCCACTATCTATTCTTATACGAATAATAACGTTCTCGACTTCTAGTCCCCTAGCAATGCAAACATGATTAACTAGAGATACTGGATCTTTGACATACACTAGATCTTTAATGACAGTTTCAATAGTTTTACTTTATTTAACTTTCTTTTTGGATAGAAATTCCACTTTTTCCACTGAGTAATAGTTATTTAAGGCATGTGACATTATCTTAATTTTTTTGGAAGAATTAGATTCCACACCTAATCTACCCAAATCTTTTCTTAATTCCATTGCTATTGAATCAATAGTATAGTCTGACATATCATGCTTTCTTTTGATATTATAGAAAGTTTGGGTAGAGATAGTTTTAAGGGTTGGCTTTTTCCTTATCTGGAGACTTAAAGGAGTTCCTCCAGTCGACAAAGTAATAGTGTTATCTAACTCAATATTTTTAAATTGTTGAATTTCTTTCAGAGATTTGCCAAGTACTTGCTCAACTGTTTTTAAACCTGAAAATTTGTAAATATGTTTTAGGATTACGTAAAAATTTAGTTTAAAAAAACTATAATTAAACTCTTACCTGTTGATATTAGCAGTGTTTTTAGGTTCTGTACAATGTCTCTCTTATTACAGGGATGTTGAATTCCAGATCCAATTCTTTAAAAACAAGTACAACAAATTTTATCTATGACCTCCTTTGGTACTTCAGGGTCATTAATGTACATGTTTAATACATCCTAAATAAATAAAAAACTATACTTATTTAAAATATAGTTAATTAAATTATAATAAAAGTTATAATTTTATAAATGTTTTTTACGTAAATAATTGAGCTACATATATGAGTTCTTTATAAATTACCTGAAGGTTTATAGATTGGGATTTATCTCTTGACATGATACAGAGCAGGCAATCACATGTTGACACTGTCTCACCTATATTTATATATATAAACAAATGTTTATTCATATTATTTATAGCTTTTGTTATATGCATAATTAAGTATAAGTAAAAGTATTACCTTTAAATCTCGGAAGTAACTTTATTCTCTCTGATGTAAGCAACCACCTCTCCAAAGTAACTAGTGATAAAGTTTCTCCTTTTTTAGCTGAGTACAAATAAATCTTGCAGGTTGGACATAACCCAATAGGGTTGGAAAGAAGTGTCATATTATAGTTAGTGTTGGCATACAGTTGAATCAAGATTAGTAAAGGATTTCCAGTTACCAGTTCAATGCATTTTAAATTCTTATCACCACAGCAAACACAAATAAGTTTTCTTGAAGAAAAATAATCCCTTGGTTTGTTTGGCATGTTAACTATGTTAATTATGCTAGTTTTAATGCAAATAAATAATAAATATGTTAGATTTTTAACTAAAGCATACATATTAAATATAGTAACACTTTGACTAGTTTTACTTTAAATGGTTATATCTTTTGAACGCCAAGATATTTTTTATTGAATTTTTGAATATGTAACTGATGCTTGATTTTTCTAAAGATAGCATAATTATTTTTTTTAAATAAATAAAGGGGGGCAAGGGGAGGGGGAAAAGTTGCCCAGATCCCCTTTAAAAATTGATTTTCTCATCAGGACGTACACCAAATAATTTGTTCTTTTCATAATATTGTCTGTATAATAGTCCTGAAAACTTTGTAATAATTTTTTTTTAAGTAATCAAATTTTCAACCTAAACGACCTAGAATTGACTAGTGCGTTATAGTTCTATAGTGTTAAAATATTTGGGAATATAAAATAAAAACCATCCATTAAAAGTAGTGATTTGAAGGTAAAATTTACCGGTAATTAAAAAAAAATTACCGCTAGGTAAATTTTGAAATTTTTAATTAAAAAAACAGACAATGTTATTTATTAAATGAAATATATACTACTCAATATGTATTAAGGTGGTAACCTTGCATTTATTTGGTGAAAAATGAAAAAAAAAAAAGTAAAAAATTTAAAAAAATATTATTTAGACAATTGAAATTTGTAGAATTCTTGTAAAAAAAAATGATATTGCAAAAGATTTTTGTGCTGGTGATTTTTGTGCAGGTGATTTTTGTGCAGGTGATTTTTGAGCTGGTGATTTTTGTGCTGGTGATTTTTGTGCTGGTGATTTTTTTGATGATTTATTTGAGTAATAAACATTTTTTGCAGGTGATTTTTGTGCAGGTGATTTTTGTGCTGGTGATTTTTGTGCTGGTGATTTTTTTGATGATTTATTTGAGTAGTAAACATTTTTTTTTATAAATTTTTAATTTTAAAATTGATTTTTTTCAGTTTCTTTTTTTTTTTATGAGTAACTGTAGGAAAACAATGATACCTCAATAAAAAATTATTATTTTAGCTTCAAATTTTAAGGATATGTTCATTATTAAAGTTTTTAGTGCCTAAACCTAAAAAAAAACAAAAAACAAAAAAAATAGATCTGCAATTACCCTATCAGCTGAGTATTTTATCGCTAAAAATAGTTTTTTATACTGCCATTTTTATACTGCAGTCTACGAACCTGCCATTTTAGATTGTTTAAATTTTTTTTTAATATTTTAGGTTCAGGCACAAGTTACACTAATATACTAGCATTGTGCAAAATTTCAATCTTTAATATTTAATCTTACAATATTTATGTTCTTGAGACATTTCCAAGGAGGTTTATTAAACCTCCTTGGACATTTCGCTTTTTTTTGCTGAGTCAGCAATTTTTTAAATTAAAATCCCTTTTGCTATACGTTTTAGATTTTTAAAACGTATAGCAAAAATTATTCATCAAAGCTGTTTATTATAAGTAAAATAAAAAAATACCAGAATACCATCATCAAAGCTTTTATCGCATGTAATATAGCTGTTAAAATATATACTTTGTGAAACGTACGTTTTTTTTATCTGTTGAATATATATATATATATTTTTAATGTTGATTTTAGGTGCCCCAAAAAGTCCTTACGGTCTTATCACAGAGCACCGCAGAAGAGCATTTAACAGGAAGTTCACGCCTCCTTCCCAACCGATGTCGCAAAACTTGTCCAGAGGTGGGGTTTGAACCACGGATCTTACGTTTCTGAGGCAAGTGTGCTACCACTGCGCCACGGCTGCTTAAATATATTATACTTAATATATATGCTGCTTAAATATATGAATATTCTTTTATACAACTTGAGAAGTTCTATTTTACGCATACAATATTGTTTTTTTTTTAAATTTCAATTTCATTTAGGTGCCCCAAGAAGTCCTCACGGTCTTATCACAGAACACCGCGGATGAGGATTTCATTGGAAGTTCAAGCCTCATTCCTAACCGATGTCGCAAAACTTGTCCAGAGGTTGGGTTTGAACCAAGAGTCCTTTGTTCAGGACATTACGCTTAAGATAAAAACAATTAATAGTATGTAAAGCACTAATATCTTGGATTGTTGCTAACTTTTAATCCCCAATACAAAAGGATCTCATTTGCTTATCTTGCATCGGGGCCAGTGACGGATCAAGACTTTTTGGGGCTTCGGGCTAATTTAAGGCAGGAAGTCTCTTTCTATATCATTCAATAAAGATTTAATTTTCAGATTTAAAAAAAAAATTTTTTTTGAATCGGAGCTCCAATTCAAAATAAAAGCCTTATCCTTAATTCAGCACTGATCAGGACTTTTACATTTTAAATTAACGCTGGAAGTTCATTATTTTAGACATTCAGACCAAAAAATATAAAGCAAGCATTATAATTTGATTTTTTGTTTTCATTGGAATATTAAAAGACGTGTTTTGAAAAGATGTATTGAATTGAAGGTAATGGCTGGTTGGGGTTGTAGTAACGGTATCAAAAACAGCCAAACTGAAGTAATACAAAAAGGGATTTTCCGTATAAATATCAAAATAGAGAATAAAATCGAAATTGTGAAAAAAGAAATAGATTAAAAAATCTTAATGATTATAATTCAATTTTTTGCAACTAATAGACTGCCTGCCCATTAGAAATCCTCAGTCGAAGTAGCAGCACATCTTGCATGTTCTTCCCATTTATCAGTCAACATTCCTCGCATGTTAAACCTCTTTGCTAGTTTTTTAACACTATTCATAAATCCTAATTTTGATATTATTCGAGCAACTTTTTTTCGATACTATTCTGCTTTCCAGATGGTTGGTTAAATACTAGGTTCTGAATTCCAAAGGTTGGTTAAGTAAAACCACTATTTAAAAGGCACTGTTGCAACTATATTGAAAAATTACATTGCATGAACAATTTTTTTTTGATAAAAAAATATCAAAAAAAAAAAAATTTTTAAACAACATTGTATAAAATAAAATAGTAAAAAAAAAAGTTTTAGGTACATTTTTAGAGTGAATTGAAACAAACAACTTTTTAACTATATTTTTATAAGTATATATAAACAAAAAAAGATTGTCAACATTAAAAGCTGTCACATAATCTGTCGCATGGTTAACATTAAAAGCTGTTACATAATCTGTCGCATGGTAAACATTAAACCTGTCATACGGTTATCATTAATAGTTATCCAAAGTGATTCTGATATAATCTTTTTAAATTAGGAACGATTTATATTAATTAAATTGTTTTGAAGATAACTTTTAGAAAGTGAATTTGATTTCAAAGGAATAACTCTTTTCATGATAATTTCGAGTTCTTTACCAAGTTTGTCGTCAGTCTCATCTGTATCTGATTCGTGATTCTCATCTGATTGAAGACTATTAAAGGAGGCAACATTATAGTAATTTTTACTTTCATCAATGTCAAAACTGAAGTAGTTGTTTTCTTGACCAATAATATCGCCAAAATGTTCTCGTAATTCCGTAAATGTTGGACGCAGTAAAGGATTTTCATTCCAACACTGTTGCATGATTTGATATCTATACAAAATGCATTGTCATTTTTTAAAATAACAAAACATACTACATTTGGTTTAACCACACAATTAATAAAAAAATTTTAAGTAAAAAAATCTTTTAAAAATAGTTAATGATCTTAGAAAAAATGTTTAAACAAACACGTTTTTTAATTATTCATATTTTGCGCCTCTCCACCCAACTCCACCTCTTACTTCTTCTGGTACAATTGAAAAGTTTACTCGTTTCGTAGATTTCTATAAAAGTATACGCAATTATGTTCCGGTAATCTAAACTTACGCAATGCATTTATTCCTAACATTTATGTTTATGAACATTAAACTTAACATAATCTCCAAACCTCATCTCCAAGCCTCACCTCCAAACCTCATCTCCAAACCTCATCTCCAAGCTTGTGCATGTACTATGATAAGTAGTTCTTTAAAAAATGGTATTTTTTTCCGGAAGCTTTTTTAAAATTTTTTATGTTAAATGTTTTACTAAAATTTTCTACTGCTTATCACTAAGCAAATGACATTTACTTGCTCCTAATTAACAAATCATTTAAAAAACGTAACAGAAATATCATTTATTATTGTTATTATTATTGTTAAACAATATATACTTTTTATATTTATTATTATTCCTATTCGTATAATAACTTTAATATTATTGGATTCGACAGGTGTTTACTTTGTATTTATTACTATTTGTAAAAATTTTTAATGCATTAACTTCAGAAAATATTTGATTTGATTAAATTTGATTGATTCATCATTTATTCAAATTTTATAACAAATGAATTCAATTTAGTATGGTCATTTTAATTTGTTTAATTTAATGTGGTCAAAGTCTTATAAAAAAAAAGCTTTAAACAAATATTATTATAACTGTAAAATTTTATTATATTATTTCTACTGCTAATCATACCTCCTATTGGATTCACACACACATATATATATAATCAATAATACCTAACAGATTATCATGTTGATTTTAATTTCCTTTTAACTCCTGGAATAGACTATTACTTAGTATAGACTACAAAATAACTGAGACGACTGAATAAGCGCGAACTGGCATAAGTGCAAAAACTGGCATAAGTGCAAACTAGCATATGTGCGAATTGGCTTTAGTGCGCAAAACAAATTTGCAAACATTGGCATAAGTGCAAATTACCATAAGTGCAAATTACCATAAGTGCGAACTGACATTAGTGCGAAGCAGTTACAAAAACTGGCATAAATGCGAACTGGCATTACTGCAAATTCGCATAAGTGCGCCAAATAAATTTGCAAACATTAGCATAAGTGCGAATTGGTATGAGCGCGAAATACTAATTTGCACTTATGCCAATATTTGAAATTTTATTCGGCGCACTTATGCCAATTCGCAGTTATGCCAGCTCGCAGTTATGCCAGCTCGCACTTATGCCAATTTTTGTAACTGCTTCGCACTTATACCAGTTCGCACTTATGCTAATTCGCACTTATGCCAATGTTTGCAAATTTGTTTGGCGCGCATTCTTGTGTTACTCGTCATTTAATTAAGTCTCATCCTTTTTCTGTTACTGTTCCTAAGGGCTCCAAAAACTCTTATTCGTCTAGTTTTTTCCTCGGACATCAGTTCTTTGGAATTCGCTCCCTTCATCTTGCTTTCCTGATTCATATAATTTGCAATCTTTTAAGTCGTCTGTCAATCGTTATCTTGCTTTACAATCTTCATCTTTTCTCTTCCAGTAACTTCCAACACTAATTAGTGGTTGCTTGCAGCCTTGTTGGAAGCGAAGATGTTAAAAAAAAAAAAAAAAAAACTTATGCCAACTCGCATTTATGCCAGTTTTTACAACTGCTTTGCACTTATGCCAGTTCGCACTTATGCCATTATTTGCAAAATGTTTTGGCGCACTTATGCCAATTCGCACATATCCCAGTTCGCACTTATGCCAGTTTTTGCAAAGCTTTGCACAACATTCGAAGCAACATTCCTGAAAGCAAATATACTGTTGTAAGTTCTGAACATCGGCCTATAAATTAAAAAAAAATTAATGTTTATGGTAAGGAAAGACCCTCTTCTCCACCCTCTATTTTTCATTATGTTAAGTCCAGCGTTGTACCAACTGCACCTCCGAAATCAAGAGTTACAACTTCATCAATTAGTACAAGAAATGTACAAGCTGATCAACTTGAGACATTCAAAGCCATGGACTCTTTGAATTTTAATGATTTGATTATTTATTAAACATGTTTATCTAAAAATCATGTAACTATTTTAGACAAATAGTCGAATTTAGCTGAAGCTATAAGATATTTAACTAATATTGAGTTATTGATAAAAAAACAAGTTATTATAGAAAGTTTATCTTCTATGAAGATCTTAAGTATTGGTGATACATTATTCCTCAAACACTTTTATTCGAGCTTTTGAATATTTTACTGTTTCAAGAGCACTTTATAAGCGAATTAAAATGATTATCAGCTTCCCAGTGTTTAATCTACAAAAATTGACATCAAAAGCTTCAAAATTAAACAATGATGAATTTATTTTGCATGTTTTTTGCAAATTTACTAACCGACAACGACAGTGCATTTTAATAGTTGATGAAGTATATGTTAAAGCTTCATTAACTTATCACGGTGGAGAACGTTTTGAGAAATCTGTTAATTAACCAGACAAATTAGCAAAAGCAATATTAGCTGTTATAATTAAGTCTTTTTGGTGGTCCCACTTTTATAGTATGTGTGATTCCAGTATGTTGTCTTGATTCAGATTTTCAGTTTGAAATAGTTGATTCTATAATTGGATCAATTTCAAATGCAAATGGAAGGTGTGTTGCCATTATATGTGACAATAATAAAGTCAATGTAAATTTTTTCTCTCTCTTTGAAACTTTTGAGGAGAAACCATGGCTGACTAAAAATAACATTTTTTTACTTTATGATTATGTTCATATATGGAAAAACATTTGAAATAATTTGACTACTGAAAAAACTCAAGAAATTCAGTTTAAGGACAATAATGATAATTTAATTGCAAGGTGGGTTGATCTTAAGAACCTTTACAACTTAGAAAGTAAGACACTTGTGAATCTTTCACATTTAAATACAGCTTCAATCTTTCCAAAACCTGTTGAGAGAAAAAATGTTTCTTTGTGTTAGAGAGATTTTGTGATGAAACACTTTCTGCTTTATCAACACATCCTAAAATAGACCAAACGAATATTAAAGGAACTGTTGTATTTCTAAAAAAGTTTATAGATGCATGGAAATATTCAGCAGATCAACAAGTTTTAGAAAAACCTAAAATAGAACACTCAAAACTACTTTTACAATATGATTCAGACTTTTGTGAGCTTCATGTTGGTCATACTTGAATAAACTGTCAGAGGCATCAAACATAAAAGGAAAGTGAAATATTTAATTCTTTGAAAATATTAGAGTCTAGTTTAACTGATGCTGTTAAAATGGATTTAGTATATGTTAAAATTTATCAAATATTTTTTAAAATAATTATTCAAAGCTAAACACTCCACACACTTACAAGGAGCCTTTTCAAAACTGAGTGATTAAATTAAAACTTTTGTTATTTGAGTTATGTAAAATTTTGTTGTTTGACTTATGTAAAACTCTTTTAAATAAATTATGTTTCATTGAGATTTTGTAATATTTTCTTTTCAATAAATATAAAATAAGTATGCATTTAGTTAGCAAGTTTGATAATAATTGTAATTTGTTAAAATATTTTTGTAAATTAAAATTAAATCAAAATTAAATTTTTACTAATCGGCCTCCAGTTTTTAAGTTTTACTGCTCGTGTAATAGGCCTGTGTTTTAGATAGCCGAGTTATAATACAATATTTCTAGGGGTTATATATACCCTCGTTATTCAAGTAATATAAAAAACCTTAAATAAGAAAAATAAGTTGTTTTATAATTAATTGAAATTTGTGATAAGTTGACAAGTGATGTAGTTTTATAATTAAGTTTTTATTTTAATTTTGTTATTATTAACCTTGCTATTCATAAAATAAGATTTTTTTCCTTCCTTTATTCTGCCTTAAACCAAAATCTGCCTTAAATTAAAATCTATTTCAAAACTTTTACTTTTTCAAAACAATACTTTTTACAATATTTCAAAACTTTTACGATTGCAGATTAAGATTTTGCACTCTACCAATTAATTTTGATTATTTTAAATTTTATAACGGCGACTTAATTTAACACAAAAATAGAGACACACAAAAATTCAAACTCTCATTATAGCTATTTGTTGAGAGTTGAAGTTTTTTGATGAATACATGTTTATATAAAAAATCTGACATCACACTGAAATAGCCTGTTGCCGGGGGGTTCAGGTACATAAACATTCTTAAAGCCTGCTGCCACAAGGGAGCACGCTACATTGAATTTGGGTTTGGCATTGGGCAGCAATTTTTTCTTCGTAATTTTCTTTTTTTTCTGAAAACGCCATATGCTACAAGTGTAGGAAACACAAGTAATTATATATATATATATATATATATATATATATATATATATATATATATATATATATATATATATATATATATATATATATATTTATATATATATATATATCAATACTCAAATACTCGGTTGCAGACTTTGCTCTAGTCTAGTTTTGATAACCATTCCCAGCCCTGTCTGTTTACTAATTACTGAAATGTTTATCCAGTTGTATATACTCACATCTGGTTTCCGCAGTTTTCTGGTTTTTCCATTCTGTAACCCATTTTAAGAGAACGAAGAAGCTCATGGTTGTTTAAATTAGGATAAGGTGATCCACCTAAATTAAAGTAAATTTACTTTATTGTACAATAACTTTAATTTTTAGCAAAAAAAAAAAAAAAAATTAAACTTTAAAAAAATTTTAATTTTTTTTTTCGCAAAGACATTTAAGTTTTTTTTTTCAAAAGACTTAAAATTGATTTGTAATTTAAAAATTCTTTACCTAACGTAACAATTTCAAAAAGGACAATTCCATATGACCAACTAAATAAAATTGTTAAAAAAAACTTAACACAAACACTTACAAAACAACAGTTCGATGAAAAAAGATTTTATATTATTAGTACTCAATGTTGTATAACCTGTTATATATAGCATTGTCTTAATGTTGTATAACCTGTTATATATAGCATTGTCTTAATGTTGTATAACCTGTTATATATAGCATTGTCTTAATGTTATATAAGACATAAAGACAAATATATAAAGACAAAACACCATAGTTACTAATAAAACTTTTCCACTACAATAAACAAGTTTTAAAATTTGTGAAAAATAATCAAACAATTAATTATTTGACTCTTGAAAAATAATTAGTTTTTGTAATGATTGTACTTTTACTATTTGTACTCTCGGTACCAGTCTTTATTTTCAGCAATTTTACATTAAATTTATATTTATACTTATTTTTATAGGTTATACTTAAATAGCAACAAATTTTTTTGTCAAAGCACATACACATCACTACAAGAAGTAAACGAAGAATCAAATATAGCTTCTACAGACATCCATTTAATAGGCAAACGACGATTTTTTTTGCACACATATATTTGATCATCATTGATTTTTCTTGCTAAACCAAAATCTGAAATTTTAATATTTCTTTTATTTCCTACAAGAATGTTTCTTGCAGCAAGATCTCTGTGTACCAACTTTACAGATCCTAAATATTCCTAAAGAAAAAAATTTTAATATACATTGTAATTTAACTTCAACTAATTTAACTATATTAACTAATTGCTAACCATTCCTGATGCAATTTGCCATGCAAAGGAAAGAAGTTCATTTGGTGCAATCATTACACTTTCTTTATTTGGAGTGCTGATTTGATTGTTATCTAACATTTTGTCAGTCTAGAATAATTAAGTTTCAATTCATTACATAATATTTAAAAAAGTTTAAATTAATAATTATTTTTATTATTAAGGTTTATAACCTTTTGATCATCTAAATAACAATTTTCATAAAAAAATTGACCAGCTTTTTTTTTATTTTCTTCATTAGAGCAAATCTAAAAAAATTGCATATCTAGTGTTAATAAAAAAAAAAAGCAAATTTATAGAATATTGAAACATGAAATATATAGAATGAAATTTAGAAAACATGACCTAAATAGATTTATTTAAACTAATTAAACAGCCTAAATAGAAATAAATTTATTAAACTAGACTTTTATAGAATGGAACTTAAAAGACATTTTCAAATCATAAACATATAAATATCACACTATTGCTCGACTCTTTCTCATGAAACTTAGAAGATCTCCATTTTCCATGTACTCAACAGCTAGACAAAATGAATTTTTAAAAGTGGACCATCCAACCATATTTACAATGTTTTTATGGTAACCAATATCTTTCATAATATTGATTTCATCTCGAAAATCCAAGAATTCGCTTTCAGTTGCAATGTCTAAAACCACAAAACTTTATTTCTATAATTCCTTATTTATTTAATTTTTGTAATAAATCATATTTAGTCTCTGATTGAGGTGATTTATATTTAAGTCACCTATACTAGAAACAAAATTTTATATATATATATATAGTTTATCTTTGTATATATATATATTACATGTATACAGATAAATAAACAATATAAAAACAAAAGACAAAAAAAATAGAAACTAACAAGCAAAAACATGTGAAGTATAAATTAAAACAGAATAAAAACTCTTTGAAAACAATAATACTATTAAAATTAAAAATTAAGCAATAAAGTATTAGCATTACAAATAATACTATTGAAAATAATAACTACAAAATAAAGTATTAACATTAAAAATAACAATATTATTGAAAATAATAACTATTCAACAAAGTATTAACATTCAAAATAATAATACTATTGAAAATAATAACTATACAATAATGTTTTCTTCCTTTTCTTTTTCTAACAAACTTTTCAAAAATTTAACATTTAATTTTCTTATATATCGTTAATAATAAGTTAGGTTAACCAGACTTTCTTCAAAACTATTTATTAATATAAAATGTGTGTTAAGATATATATATATATATATATATATATATATATATATATATATATACATACATATATATATACATATATATACATACATATATATATATATATATATATATATATATATATATATATATATATATATATATACATACATATATATATACATATATATATATATATATATATATATATATATATATATATATATATATATATATATATATATATATATATATATATATATATATATATATATATATATATATATATACATATATATATATATATATATATATATATATATATATATATATATATATGTATATATATATATATATATATATATATATATATATATATATATATATATATATATATATATATATATATATATATATATATATATATATATATATATATATATATATATATATATATAATATAGAAGGAGAGAGAAATTTAGAAAAACTATACAGAGAAGTTGAAGAACTATACAGAGTGCCCTAACTATAAGAAATAATTTTATAGAAATAAATAACCTTTTAAACATTTAATAGCTACAACTTTAGGTGCAGTACCATCTGGATATTTTTCAAGAAAATTAAGAAGGGATTGTTGGTTTACATATTTTGCATTCATGTTAATTTCAGATTTTATTGTTCCTTTATAAACAGTTCCAAAAGCTCCCTCGCCTATTTTTTCTTGAATACAAATGTCTTGAGGTAACATTTCCCACACATCTATTTCTTTTAAAATCACTTGAGTATCAATGTATTGGCTAGTTTATAAAAACAAAGTTATGAAAGAAATCTATGTGTAAATATAAAAAATATAAATAACCAAAGCTCAAAAAAAATGTATGTAATATATACAGAAATAAAAAAAAAAAATAAAAAAAAAAAATTTGCATCAAACCTGAAAAAATTATCTTTCCATTTTGATGAATAATTAGATCTTATTTTTTTCCAAATACAAATAACAATCAAAATTATTATCAATGTTACAGAAGGCACAGCAATCCAAACAATAATTGAAATTGAAAACTCTAAAATTTTTTAAAACAAACATTTATTTTGTATTTTTAAATTAAAAAAAAAATCCAAAACAAATTAGTAAAATAAAAATAAAGAATGGGATAAACATAAAAATGGAAGGGGGGTCTAATTCATTAGTGTAGATAGAACTGAGGAAGATTAGGTAAAAATTTAAAAAGTAAGGCCCTATTGTAATAAAATGAGGCAATATTTGGGTATAAATACTACAAAATGCTAGCACAATAGCATGATATACCTAACTAAAAGAATTGCCTGATTTAAAACTTTTTCTTTTACAGCATTAAAAATTGTGTTATTTTATAACAACTACAAAAACTTTAATTAAAAAAATAAGTTTAAAGCAACTATGAAATAGAATGTGTCAATTTTGTAACTGCATAGATTATTCCTTTCGGTGTCATGCACTATGTATAATTAAGTCTAAAATGAAACAACCTTTAACTTTGTAAGTCTTCTGTCAACCGCTTCCTTGCTCTATAAATCTATTCTTTTTTTCTAGTAACTCCCAACTTAATAGTAGTTGCTTGCAGCCTTGTTGGGAGTGAACCAGAATAAAAAGAAATTCAAGTTCTCTATTAATTAAAAACTTTTAAAGAAAAAAATTAAACAAAAAAAACCATCATTACCATCGAATTGTTTAAATCTACCCTTTACAAATATTTGTGTTCTTTAAAGGAAAATTTCATCCAATCAATCTTATTATTTGCAAAACTGCTTTTTCACCAAAACTAATTGCTTTTTGTGAGACCTATTTAAATTAAGCTGTTCATACAATTCAATTGTAAAAAACCTGGCAGTTTAGAAGAGGCTTTAGGAGCAAGAATAAAAAGTGCCTTTGCAAAGATTAGAGAATTTTTTTCTACTTTTAATTGCAATCAGTGGCGGATTTAGTATAGGGCGTGGGGCGGGCGAGATGCTCCCTCCCCCCATAACACCTAGAACGATCAAACGGCGCCCCTTCCTCCATTCACAAAGCAAAAATTATAAATTAAAATTACCAACGAAGAACAAAATGAAAAGAATAAAAATAAGTACAAATGGAAAGAGAGAGAGGAGTTATTTTAAAACAGAGGTTTTAAAATATTTTCTTTCAAAACATTGATATTAAACTCTGAAAAGAGAAACATTTATATTAAACTCTGCAGAGAAAAAGCATATAATGGTGTTTATGTAATGTTTGCAATTAAAAGTGGTCTTCAAACTTGAATAAAAGCGCTTTCACCAAATGCTATCTATGTTCATTGTTGTGCTCATGTTTTAAGTTTGGTGACCATTAAAGCAATATCTGTAAACAGCAATGTCCAGATGTTTTTAGCTGAAAAATTGTATACGTACCTTAAGTCTAGTTTACCATAACTTCATATTCTCCAAGAGCACCAGTAACGTCTATATGAATCAACAGTAGACACTCTGAAACAGCTTTCCGATACAAGATGAGCAAGTAGGAAGCATGCAGTTGATGCTAATGTTGAATCTTTTTCTGCTAAGCTAGCACTCTAGAAGATATAAATCTAGGAGAATCTAAAGACAGGTAATGTTAGAGCAGAAGTCATTGGACTATCCGTTTTAATAAAAAAACGTTTATTTGTTTTTCTAATGTTATTTTTGCCAAAGTTGTTAATTAATCTTTTTGTGTTATTTAACTATTTGCAACGAGAAGATATAGAAGATTTATTTGCAAAACAATTGATTGATGTTACAAAAAACAAGTTTGTAGATATGAGAAACGATGAAGCTTTTAAAGTTCTACATTTAGCAGTCAAATCATTTATTAGTGAAAAATGTGCCGAACTAGATGTAGAAACTGAATTTAAAGAAAACTCGTCTTTTTTTAAATTCAGTTAACCTAACATCATGCCAAAAAGAAACACAACCTACTTCAATGTTTTGGATACAATTATAACCCAAATACATAAACGATTTCATGACTTTAGTAACACAGTTACATATTTTGATTGCTTTGATCCGCCAAAATTATCTGAAGAAAATATAAATTCTTTTTAAAAATTATGATAAATTTATTGTAACGACATAAATACTGAAGAAGCAATCGTAGAGTATCAATAATGTGTATGGATCGATATCCCCATCACTGACAACTGACGTTCAATTGAAAGATGTATTTCAGTTCTTGATTGAGAAACAGATAGCACCCGGCCTCCCTAACTTGTCTATACCTTACAAAATCTACTTGACTCTTTCTGTAACATCTGCTAATGCTGAAAAAAGTTTCAGTGAACTAAATATTACAAAAAATTATTTTTTATCAACAATGACAAACGAGCGTTTTTCTGGATCAGCATTAATTTCTATTGAACTGAAAACATTAACTTTGACATGTCGATAAATCGTTTTGCCTCAATGAAATCTTGCAGAATTTGTGTAAACTAACTCAAAAATGATTTTTTTTTTCTAAATGCTAACTTTTGCAACATGTCTAGTTAAATACATTTTTAAATGACCGAACTATTTCAGTAATATTAAATGTTTCTTATTTTATAAAAGATAATTGTTAACTAAAATAAACAAAAAAACTAAAAAAAATTAGGTTATTTAGTGTCTTATATGTATGTAATATGTATAATAAAAGTCACATAAAAACACTTATAAAGTGTTTTAGTCATGAAAATAATTTCTGAGGTAAAATACCACACACAACCCCAGTCGCCCCCTATTTATTGACTTGGCCCCCCAACTTTTGGCTTCAAAAATCTTGAAATAAAATTTCAAAATTTTTGAAGCCAAAAGACACCATATTGGAAAGCCCCAGAATTTTTAAACGTTAAACTTATATGCGCTTAAAACACAGATTTCGCTTGATAAATAAAAAATGCAAAAACCTTATAAATGCATTGATTATTAAAAACCGAGTAAATCTGATGTTATATGTTCAGATTATTTCATGGAGAGTGACATAAATATACATATATATATATATATATATATATATATATATATATATATATATATATATATATATATATATATATATATATATATATATATATATATAATATATATATATATATATATATATATAAATTATGTATGCAGGGTGGCCAGCCAATTTCAACATTTAAATTCCCTGACTTTTTATATTTTTCCCTGACTCAGTTATATTTTAAAGTGTGAGTTTTTAGGTTTTGTTTTTTGGGAGTAAGTAAAAAAAAACCTTTAAAAAAATTAAATTTTCAAAAAAGACATTTTTCCCTGATTTCCCTGACTAGAAAAAAAATCCCTGACTTTTTTATGATTTCCAGTTGGCTAGCCACCCTGGTATAATATTATTATAATAGCATCCAAGTGTATATTAGTATGCACCTTTTTAATTCTTAACTGCCCTCTGCAAAATGCCTGAGGCTTGTAACATAATTGCAAGGTAAAGTAACATAATTGCAACATAATTGTAACATAATTGTACAACACAATTGTAACATAATTGAAAGCTTACAAGTTTGCTGTATGAATCATTAGTTAGGCAATATGATTGTAACACAACTTAAAGGTTCCTTAGGCAACATATAGCAAATGGTTATATTTACTTTTAATAATTTTGTTCTGGCGTGTGTGTATATATATATATATATATATATATATATATATATATATATATATATATATATATATATATATATATATATATATATATATATATATATATATATATATATATATATATATATATATATATATATATATATATATATATATATATATATATATATATATATATATATATATATATATATATATATATTGAATAACTTGTATAAGCATTGAACAACAAAATAAACATTGAATAAAAAGGTATTATGTGGTAGGGAAAAGTAAAAAAGTATGTACACTTAGAAAAAAAATTGTTCACCTTTCATTTTGGTCTTTGATGTTGCTTATTTGTTTTCACAAGAAATATTTTTAATATTAATTATACAACTAATATCTATCAATATAAAACGGATAGATGTTAGCTGAATCATTATTATTTTACTTTAGAGTCGATAGTTTTAAAAAAACTTGAAAGAAACCATGTCTGTTTTCATTTATACCATATTTACATATACACAATCAACATGTATGCGATACTGTTATTTAGTCTAAAACACTAAACACTTTAATGTAAAACTGCAAATAACTAGTTATCACCAAATATTTAGTGTTTTTTAAAGTTAGAGATAGCTTTGTCAAACCTTCACAAAGTGTAATTAAAGTTAGCAAAGCAACAGAACAAAACATTGTTGTTAAATGATATCAATTTTAATAAAGTATTGCATAGTTGATGATATATCAGTTGTGGAACAATATAAACATGTCCTCAGAGTATCAAAAATTAGAAAAACATTTACAAAATTGTTTGATACAATGTTTTTATCATGTTTTATACTTGTAAAGTTACTTTCCAGCTACTATTGCTAAGTAAGGTCGCATCAAGTTGTTAAAATAAACACCCAAAAGTAACCAGATCAAATATCAATTTGTCTTTCAGAAAAGTTTTATTTAGAATATCATAAATTCACTAAATTTAACAAGTTCATAGAAAGCAATACAAATTTTATTATTTCTTTATAGCGATATTTTTCTTTGTCGTTAATGTTTTGTGTGTTTTTGATTCCCTTCTATACTTTTTACACCTTCAAACATTTTAAATATAATAATATCATTGAAGTATGTGACTTGGTTGAGTAGATATAAACAAAGTAAAAAGGTACATCTTCAAGCGCAATCACTGTATTTTTCGATATTCTGGGGCTTTCCAATATGGCGGCCGTACAAAAAATTGGCTTCACTTTTGATAATAGAGATGCGCTATCCAGTTATTATAGAGATCAGTATTTATTGACTTGGCCCCCCCCCCCCCCCCCTCAACACTAAATCTTAATCCGCCACTGATTGGAATAAGTGCATTAATAAAGATTTAAGAAAAATTGTATACAGCATGCGTCTAGAGTATTATTATAAATGGTAGTAAAATATGCAATGAAGGTTGAAATCTTGAAATAACAGAGAAAATGGTATCAGATAAGAAATAATCAAGGCAATCTTAAATAGAGAATGCTGAGTGAAGAAGTTTGGCGATTAAGGCAAAGGGTTAAGGTAATTGGTTAGTTGGAAGGTGATTGGTTAGTTGCAAGGTGATTGGTTAGTTGGAAGGTGATTAGTTGGTTAGAATTTCTATTCATTTATATATTATTTATTTTATTATTATTTATTTTTTGAATATTATAATTAATTAGTAAAATTTTACATTTTAATAAGTCCTAACTATAATATAGTTAGATGTCTGACCCTAACTATAAGGTGAGGTAAAATACTTAAAAAAAAATAAAAAATAAAAAATTTACTTGTAGAAGTAGAACTTAAATTAAAGCTGCAATTTTCAAAATTCGAAACATCTTGACAACCTGCCAAAATTAAAATTATTTCAGATAAACATTTTAAAAAAGATTTAATTTTTATTATAAACAAAAATTTTTAAAAACCTGTGTAAGTAAATGATATTTCAGAAACATTTCCAACAGTACAATTTCCAATGTTTGTTAAAATCTGGAAATTAAAAGTCATTTAAAATGAACAACTTCAATGGTAACATAGTTATCTATAATAAAAACTAATAAGAAACAAAAAAAAGAAAGTTGTTTAAAAAAAAAGTAACCTTTAATCTAATAGTGCAACCTTTAAGTCGATCATGTGATGGATTTATTATTTTAAAATTACCAGATAAGTTATTCTAAACCAAAATAATAAAAATTAACTGTATATTTAAAATTTTGTACTTATTACTTTTTTAAATATTAAATTAAAAAAAGAAAAAAAAAAAAGTCAATTAAATTTTACTTCAAAGTGTTAAAAGGTTTCTTAAACTATTATGTTTACAAATGATAAAGATAAAAAAATGTGATTATGACACTAAACAACAGATTTTTATAAAAGTTTCATTTTGTTTTAGATGTATATATATATATATATATATATATATATATATATATATATATATATATATATATATATATATATATATATATATATATATACATATATATATATATATATATATACATATATATATATATATATATATATATATATATATATATATATATATATATATATATATATATATATATATATATATACACACATATATATATATATATATATATATATATATATATATATATATATATATATATATATATATATATATATATATGTTTAATTTTGTTTTAGATGTATATATATATATATATATATATATATATATATATATATATATATATATATATATATATATATATATATATATATATATATATATATATATATATGTTTTAGATGTATATATATATGTGTGTATATTTATATATATATATATATATATATATATATATATATATATATATATATATATATATATATATATATATATATATATATATATATATATATATATATATATATATATATATATATATATATATATATATGTATATATATATATATATATATTTTTTATTTGCATTCACTCCCAACAAGACTGCAAGCAACCACTATTAAGTTGGGAGTTACTAGGAAAAAAAAGAACAGAGTTATAGAGCAAGGAAACGGTTGACAGAAGACTTGAAAAATTGAAGGTTGTATGAGTCTGGAAAACATGAAGATGGGAGAGAGTTTCAAAGGATTGAAGTGTGGGGAAAAAAACGAGATGAATAAAAGTTTTTAGAGCATGCAGGGACAGATACAGTAAACGAATGAGACTTAGCTGAATGACGAGTAAAACAAGAATGAATTTTAGTTGATGGAACTAGAGATGATAACTCCTTTGAGCAGTGACCATGATAGTATTTGTAGAAAAGAGAAAGAGATGCAACTTTACGACTATGGGAAAGAGGCTCAAGCTTAGCAGATAGTCCAGGTCCAACAACATTTGCAATACGTTTTTGGATCTTTTCTAGAAGAGAAAGTGAATCGTTAGAAGAACCAGCCCAAATATGACAACAGTGTTCCATACAGGGACGAATAAGAGATTTGTAGAGGTAGAGAATGGAATCAGAAGTAAGGAAATGGCGAGCACGATAAAGAGAAGCAACCTTAGCAGAAGCTAATTTAGCAATCGATTGTATATATGGTTTTTATGAAAGGTCAGCAGTAAGCGATAATTCAAGAAGACGTAAAGAGGAGGACTCAGTAAGAGGATTGCTATTCATTAATATAGGGATGTTGACCATATTACGGTAGTTGTTTGCAGTAAGCAACTGGGTTTTTTTAGAGTTGAAATTCACAAGCCACTGTAAACCCCAATCTATTACTGAAGTGAGATCGGATTCAAGATCAGCTGCTTGTTCTAAGCAATTGAAAAGAGAAGACTTTTTGTCAAGACAGGAGTATAAAGTTGAGTCATCAGCAAAAAGAGCTACTTTAGATGAAAGGTTGTCAGGAAGATCGTTTATGTAGATAAGAAACAAAACAGGGCCCAGGATGGAACCTTGGGGAACCCCAGAAGTTACTGGAAATAAAGAAGAGTGTTGGCCTTAAAGGATGACTTTAATAAACCGGTTAGAAAGAAATGATTTGATAATCTCAAAAACTTTCCCAGAAACACCATATGAAGCAAGCTTATGGAGAAGACCAGCATGCCAAACTTTGTCGGAAGCTTTAGATATGTCGAAAGCAATAGCCCTAGCCTCACTGCCTCAATCTAATGCACGATAAAATCTTTCAGTTACAGCTGTTAGCAAGTCGGCCGTAGAGCGAGAGGATCGAAAACCGTATTGATTGTCTGACAGTAGTTTATTTGACTCAAGATGAGATGTGAAGAATTTGTTGATCAAAGACTCAAAGACCTTGCTAATAACAGAAAGAAGACTGATCGGACGATAATTGGAGGGGTTAGAATTTTCTCCAGAGTTTTTGAATATTGGAACCACAGATGCCATTTTCCAACAAGAAGGAAAACAAGACTCAGTCAAACACTTGTTAAACAGTTTAGAGAGAATTGAAGAAAGTTCTGGAGAACAATTCTGCAAGACTGTGACAGGAATGTTGTCTGGACCACAAGCTGTAGACAAGTTTAATTGAGATATGACTTTAGCAACAGAAGCTGGAGTGATTTGAATTCCTAACAATGGGTCAACCTGTTTGACTGGAATGGAAGGAAGAGAATGTCCATAAGATTCAAGAGTGGAATTAGAAGAAAAGTTCTTTGCAAGTAGTTCTGCCTTATCCTTGGGAGAGGTAATAAGATCAGTCCCATGAATGAAAGATGGAATGTTAGATCTACCCTTGTTAATAATGCTGTTGAAGATTTTCCAAAAGTCTTTAGAGCCTAACTTCTGCGATAAGATGCGAGATTTAGTGAACTGAGAATAATGGAGTTTAGCATCAGAAAGCACCTTTTTACATCAATTTCTTGCAATAATAAATAGCCGTTTGTTCTCAAGAGAGTTGTTCTTTTGAAAAAGATGAAAAAAATGATTACGATTGGATATAGCAGCCGCACAAGAAGAAGAAAACCATGGAGTAGAATGAGGCTTGACTTGAAACCGACGCGAAGGAATAAAAGCTTCCATTCCAGCCTGAATCCAGGAGGTTACGTAGGAGGCGCATTTTTTCAGCTGAGAGAGAAAAAAGCATCAGCCTAAGGACCATCACGAAGAAAATCACGAAAGGAATCCCAGTCAGCTTTAGGGTAGTAGTAGGTGGTGCGATGATAAGGTGAGCCCAAAAAAGAAGTATGAGAAGAAAGATTTATAGAGATCATTGCATGGTCAGAACCACCTAAGGGAGAAAAGGGAGAAACTGAACATAAGCTAGGGTCAGAGACAAGACATAAGTCAAGGAGTGAAGGTAAATGATTAGGGTTGTCAGGAAAATGAGTCACAAAGTTAACTATCTGAGTAAGAGATTGAGAAACGCAGAAGTTAAAGGCTTTAGTGCCAGCAGGATTAGTGGTGTTAGAGCCAAGCCATTCAGTGTGATGGGCATTAAAATCACCAACAACAATATTGGCAGAGGGGTAAAGAGAGAGGGCATGGTCAATTGATCAGAGATAACATCTAAAAGAGTGCAATCATGGGAAGAAGGAGAACGATAAAGAACAAAGAGAAAGATGATAGAGTGAAGAGGTGCTAGGCAAAAGCACATAAAAGAATGGTCAAAGGATTCGAACCTGATTTCACGACAAGTAGGGGAATTAATGCGTATGTATACCCCTAAACCTAGCGTGTGACTGTTGGAGTCTTTACGAATCAAAGGATAGTAGCCATCAACACTGACATCTGAAGAAGGAATTGCAGAATTATATATATATATATATATATATATATATATATATATATATATATATATATATATATATATATATATATATTATATATATATATATATATATATACTACTGTGATCAAAAAGTAAGGTGAATTTTTTTATAAAATGAAAAATCTTTATTTATTCTTCCAAATCTGTATCGTCCCCCTCAAAATAATCTCCCCCCCCCGGCCCCAATGCACTTTTGCCAACGTTTTTTCCAGTCTTCAAAGCATGCCAAAAAGTCCTCGGTAGGGATAGTCTTCAATGCGCGTGCCAGTTCGCGTATATATATATATATATATATATATATATAAATTTTGTGTGCTTTAATTTTTCAGAAAAATAATAATGAAAAAAAATTAAAGCCTTAACCCAAACCCTTAGTTAACATAGCAGTATTTCTTTTATGTTCTACCTATTTAATCAAATGACATATAAATATAATTACTGGTTTTATAAGTTAAGAACATAAATGGCTCAAGTATTTAAATACTCTTTAGATTTAAACACATTTTTTGTTGATTTTATTATATATTCTGAAGCAAATTATTGTTTTTATATTGTGAACTTAAATATTAATATATATATATATATATATATATATATATATATATATATATATATATATATATATATATATATATATATATATATATATATATATATATATATATATATATATATATATACATAAAAACATACAAACCCTTATTTTTTTATATACTTGATAACAAGGGTATCCATATTCACCTGAAATATCGTAAAAATAAATATAGTTTTTGCAAATAGAAATCAATCCATAAAAAGAAGTTTTATTTTAAAATATATATTAATATTTAAGTTCACAATATAAAAACAATAATTTGCTTCAGAATATATAAAAAAATCAACAAAAAATGTGTTTAAATCTAAAGAGTATTTAAACACTTGAGCCATTTATGTTCTTAACTTATAAAACCAGTAATTATATTTTGTTACATAATTTATAATATTTATATTATACTTACAAAAATAACTTTAAAAGGAGGGAAAAAATCTTCACCAACTTCATTAGTTAAACAATAGGGTTGTAATGTTTCAGCTCCAACAGAACTGTAATAAGGAAAACCTAAAAGATGGAGTTACTCTATTAAAATTAGTAAATTTTATGTACACAAAAGGTTTTCAAAACAAAATTATGCTGAAACCCTTGTTCAGAACTAGACCACTTTCTTGGTGCAACCCATAAATTTTATTATGCTTTTCTGGATGTTAAAATAAATTAAATAATAATAAACAGTTTAGATATAATAATAAATTTTACATCTAAACTGTTATTAAAAGTTTCTCTAAAGAAACTTAGTTAAAAAAAAAATTAGTCACTGAATGCATTAAAGCTCCCATTGTGCTTCTTTTTTCAAAAAATAGATTAGTAAACATTATAAAAAATAAATTATTAGGTCTGTGTTCTGTGTTCAAATTAAAATTGATAGGCCTGAACTATGATTGGTATTGAATTCATATCACACAATCAGAACTGTTGTGCAATATGAGTTCAAATTCAATCACAGCGAACTCAGCACTTGAGTAGTACTTTGGTATGCAAAAATGCTGGTCAATAATTGACACTGCTTTGAATTAGTCTTTATGACTACTTGTGGCTGTTCCTATGCCAACAATATTTTTGGATATAAAAGCATTGTATATAAGTTATATAACTTAAATTTCAAATGAAAAAAAAAAAAAAGATTAAAACGCAGACAGTTAGTCCTTTTGATACACAAAATTTTTTAAATTTATAAAAGTAGGAGGAAAAAACATTTAAAATAATTTCAAATTAAAAACCTTTAAAATTTAGGAAGAAAAAGAGTAATCTATTTTATACTTTTTATATTATTACATACCTTTTGGTAAAAAATAAGTTATGCTCCAACTCAAATACTCAAATTCATAGTCTCGTGAATACATTCCATGTGAGCTTATGTTTATGTTTGATACCCCAACTGTCTTCCTAAAGTCTTTTTTTTTAAGAAAAAAAAAGTCATCGTTAACAAAGTTAATAAGATAACAAAATGTGTAGACATTTAAATCTTGAAAAAATTTTATTATTATAATATAAAAAAATATTACACTGTAAACTGCAAAAAAAAAAAAAAAATATTTAAAATTCATAACTTATATTTGGTTTTGTCATGTTCCTGCTCTATCATGTTTGATTAAACAATTTAATAATGTTAGAATTAAATTTATCAGACATTAGATTTTTAAAAGTTAAATTTGCCAATTGAATTAATCATCTATGGTTCATCTTTATAATCTGTTAAAATGGACAAAAAAGATTGAACCCATTATGATCAATTTTGTTTTATTTTTTATTTTATCAATTATCTTTAAGTTTTATTTAAAATTTTTAATTTTAATAAAAAACTTTAAAAAAAAATAACAAAGAAAAAAAATCATTGGAAACAACAAATTTCTGGCAAATAACTTCAACAGGTGGACAAGTATACAGTTTATTTTAAATACCAAGTAATTAAAATAATATTTATAATAAAAGTTATATTTGTAAACATTTTCTAATAAAAATTTTATTTTTAAACATTATTTATTATAAATAATTTTTATTCATAAATATTTTTTTAGAATTATTTGTAATAATTGTATTTGTAAACATGCCTCTGTTTTCTGATGACTCTCATAGTCCAATCTCACAATACTCACTATTATATTAAAAAATTTAATGGTGGCACCAACCTGCTAAAATATTTGATCAAACTTACTAAAATTAAGTAAAACCCTTATTATTGTACACATTAAATTAAAAAACATTGTCCACTAGCAGTTGTATTCACATCTCTTCATTAAACCTTGCAATAAGCTATCAGCTAGTTACAAGAAAAACAGCAGTTTTTAATGTCAGCGATAAAACTAACTTGTATTCTTATGTTTCTGTTTGGTTAACAGCAGGAGTATTTAGTTATTGGAAAGCTGTTAATGCCAAAATCTAATCCTGCTCTACCCTACAGTTAAAACTGTTTTTGGAGGGATTTTCTATTATATTAAGAAAAGTAAAAAATAAGTATCCAATCAAAACAAGCGTAATCAAATAAGTTTACTTTTACAAAAAATTAACTATTATATATACTATATCAAATTTATAAGACTTATCCTTTAATTGTTAAAAAATTTGGGTATATTGTCTGTAGCAAAAAAACATGGATTTTGTGGGCAATAAAGCTTTCTATATGCTCTAAGACACTCTCTCTGTTGAAATCATACCAAGCATAATTATAACAATTTGGGCACAATTTTATAGAAAAATATCTATTTTTTATTGCATGTAGCACTTTTTATTAAATATTATTTAAGAGTTATTTTTAAATTTTTTTGAAATATTGTATATATTTTTTGATTTTTAGAGATTAAAATAATATAATTAAAAAGTTAAAAAAAAAAAAAAAAAGAAAGAACACAGTGCAAGGTACACAGTGAAATAACTCATATTGGAGCTAATATAATGTTTGAAGACTATTTCTTGGACCACAATTTCTTGAAATGTATCATAATAAAATTATTTGGTTTTAATATTTAGATTGGTTTGCAAAAATCAAAGAAAATAGTTATGAGAAAATGTGTAAATCATAAAAGTGAAGAAGCATAAACATAAAATTTAAAAACATGAAACTAAGTGTTAAGTAGATACAAACTCTTTGAACCTTTCATATTGTAATGCGTTTTAATTAAATTTAAAGAATTAATCAGCAACCATTATTCAAAAAATCACCGACTGTGAACCAAATAAAAAAAATCATAATCTGTTGGCATCGCAACGTTTAGATGCGATGAGAAAAACAATGGAGGAATTTTAACTGAAAAAATTATAAGATTGGTAAGGAGTCTAAACAGAAGGAATACCATTTATTTTCATTTTTACTTTCCTACATTTACTTTCCTTCATTTTAAAACCAACTGCTTAGAGCTTTTTACAATACTTTACTTCATTTTAAAACCAACTGCTTAGAATATCTTGGCTTGGGCTCATAACTTTACTAACACTATTCTTTGTTTTCTAATAACTCCCAACCTAATATTAGCTGCATTTAGCTTTTTTGACAGTGTATTAGTTTTTTTAATAGTGTTTATATATATATATATATATATATATATATATATATATATATATATATATATATATATATATATATATATATATATATATATATATATATATATAATATATATATATATATATATATATATATATATATATATATATATATATATATATATATCAGTGTCAATTGACTTGAACTTGATGAACTGCTTGTATTAAGAAAAAGTGAAGATTTGATGTCACAATGGGGGCCTTTAAACGGGCCATCAAAGGCCCCTATAGTGACATTAAATATTCCTCCCTTTTTTCTAATCCAAGCAGTTCAACTGCTAAATAATAATGATTTTCTTGCATGGTGTATGAAACTCTTTTGTTTACTATTTATTGTTAAATGTAGCTCTGCAAAAGTTATTGCATTTTTTAGTAGGTTTTCATTAATCGATAGATAAAAATCATTAATATCGAAGACTAAGAACTTACAGAAATGCTTTTCCAATGTAAAACATTTTGAGTTTTTCGCCATTGGTTCAAAAATAGTTTTTTTCTCAGCTTGGAATAAATGTTGGAAAAAAAAGATTTGAAATTATTCTAATCTCATTCTGGGAAGTTCTCTTTATGGTCTTTTAGAGTTATGAAACAATCTGCAGTACTGTTAATTTCAATTTTATTGTATACATCATGGTTAATTAAGATTTTCTTATCATAAAATAAGTTTATTCATTTGATCTTTGAGTTAAGGGCAAGCTTTTTTATACGTGGAAGTTTGGATAGTTTGTACATGTTTGATGTTTTGTCAGCAAGAGTTTTTTTTGAGGTTTTTATAGATTTTATATCCTTTGCCTTTTTTTCTTGAAAAAAATTGTTGATTTTCTGAAATCTATGGTTTTAACAAGATTTGTAAAACTATTTTTGAAAAAATACATTTACTTAATTTACGGAGGACATTTAGAAGAGTAAATACCGTAGTTGTAATCGGAAAATTTTTTTTTATATGATTGTTTGTTAATGAAAAAAAGCGTTTTCTACCTTATTCTTTTTATAAGCCTTTACCATTTATAAGTCTTTACCATTAATTGTAATTGAATCTCTTTTTTTTGATTTTACTTTATCTTTTAGACTTTACTTTGATTTTACTTTATCTTGAAAGCATTTGTTTAGTCTAGATGAACATGCATGTCAAATTTATTTCCTGGTCAAGGGTGGCCATACCCTTATTTTTTTTCTCTAATATTTTCTTTTTCTTTAAAGTTGGGGTTGAGAAAGAAAGATTTTTTGCAAAATACCTGTGACATTTAAATGCTTTTTTGAAGCTTTTTTGCAAAAATTAATACTAAAACAAATAAATCAAAAAATTTATTATTTAATTATTTGTACCTATGCTGCTTTTTGCTTCTCTTATTCAGTGCGGTCGTTGTCAGGGCCTTCCTTCATAAGTCTCTCTTGAGGTAGGGGGTGGGGGATTCATATGTGTTTTGCCAACTAAAGACACACACACACACACACAAAATAAGGATACATACTAAGTATACATACAAATAAAATATTTACCAACTATACTTTAAAAATTGCCAACTGAAATGCTAAATGTGCAAATGTACATTTGCACATTTGGCAATTGGCCCTGGTCAACCCTTGTTGTAACAACCACTCTAATAGAAATAAAAATTAGATAATTTTTAATTATTTATTTATTATCAGCTATTCATAAAACTGTTGTCTGGAATGAACTAATTTTAATTACTCTATTTCTGACAACACTTATTTCAGTTTGTCATTTTCAGAAATAACATTTTTTTTTTGGTTTAATTGGTTTTTAACAACAACAATGCTGAATAAAAGAAGCCAAATTACTAAGTCTTTTTAAAAAAACTTTTAAAGAACTGATTGAAATAACATCAAGATTAATTAAAAAAAAATTGAAGTCAAAAAAGTAAAAGTAAATAACTTAAAAAATTTTTATAACTTTTCAAAACCGGCTATTTTAATCTATTTAATATAGTCGATTTAGTAGGGTGGTTCAAAAAGCACACTTTTAAATTTAAAATTATATGGTTGATTGTGAAGAAAAGTCTCTTGATGTTATTTCATCATGTAGATGAAATTATATCAAGTTCCTTTTTTCAGTAAATTTTGGTTACTTTAAGTTAACAAAAGTGTAAACCACAATATTTAAACAACCAGATTCCAATCACATATTTAAAATCAGGCCAGTAGCAAGCTTTTTGTTTTTGATTGAGAATTTAAGTTTATGTAACACACATGGAGCAAACTCCAAACATTTATACATTCATGTTCATGTAAAGCTTTTCAAAAGTATTGTGATAATTGGAGTCTGTTAACAACAAATCCTCAAATTTTTACTTTTCTTTTATGCCATTAGCGTGAGAGCGACAAGTTTATAACATTTATATATACATTTTTTTTAAGACTTTAAACTATATTTAAGTTTATTAACAAGTCTCTAATGTCATGCAATAATCTCTTAGTGTTTAAAAATTATTACTATATAAGTTTAAAGTTTTGAAGAATCTCCCCAATTATTTAGGGGATTTAAAATATTATATTTAATTAAGTTATAAGTTTGTCTGACAATCAAATTCTGTTCCTCGTTTTTTTGATTATCCGAATTTGATTGTCAGACAAACTTATAACTTAACTAAAGATAATATTTTAAATCCCTAAAATAATTGGGGAGATTGCTCAAAACTTGAAACTGTTGCTCATTCAATAGTTTGTAGTAAAAGTTAAATTAACTCTTTTTTCGTGAATAAGTAATCAAATTAGGTGGGCTTCATTTTAAAAATTTGTATTAGAATAACAAAGATAATTAAATTTTTATAAGTGACTTTAGTCTACAAGATCATTTGTATTTTGCAAACAATATTATCAAATTAATTTTTTTTTCAAATTATTTTCAAATTAATTTTTCAAATTAATTTTTTTTTCAAATTAATTTAGTCATTCATTATTGTTTGTTTTTTTTATTACATAAAGACATTCTTTAATGCAGAGGCTGATTTTTTATAACTTTTAATCTTTCTAAACTTGCCATTACAAAAATTTACTTTTCTTTTGTAAAGTATACAAATAGCAAGAAGACAAAATAGTCTTATGGCCAAATAGTCTTTTTACCAACCCCCTAAAAAGTACATAATAAAGTTATTAAAAACTTGTCATTAAAAATTGATGATCATGTGTTTTACTGAAGTTTGAGTTTATCAAGTTTATTTTAATTGACAATTATAGCTTTGTATTTTTTGGGAATATACCTAAAAAATTATTATATATAAGTAGCTGAAATACCAAATTTTCCTGTTTTAGTATGTTTTTCTAGAAAATAGAAAATCTTTTTCTAAAATAACATACTAAAACAGAAAAAGTATTGCATAAATAACAGAAATTTTGAATAACTTTATTATTTTAATATATAAATAAAGTGATTTAAAAAAACATTATCCATGAAAATATAAATTAAACAAAATACAAGATTTAATATAAATTGATTTAAATACAAGTATTGCATGGTGTTATACTGCGTCAAAAGCAATGTAAAAAGGTTTCATAATTTAAAAATGTGGCAGTTCCTTTTTTCATCAAATTGATTCGAATTACTTAATCAACAGTATCTTTAACTAATTGTAATATTAATAGTTACGGACAAATAAGGTCTTTTTATGAGTTGTTAAAAATCATATTAAACTCATTTAAAGACACTTTTGGTAAATAAAAACATACTTAAGTACCAAACTTAAGCATGTTCTTATTTATATTACATTAGAATGTTTAGGAAAATGTTGAAATAACCACCTTATTCGGTTTGGTTGTAAACTTTATAAATTCTCAACCTTTGAATTTTGAATTTTAAAACCTGTTGACATAAATTTAATGTAAGAAAATAAAAAGTAAAAGTTACTAGTTTGAGTTACTAGTTTGTTGTCTTCACATTTGGGGTAGGGATGGTAAATGTTTTAGGGTATTTTTTTTTCTAGGCTTCCATCACTACAAGTTTTATTTCTTAATCTATGTTTACTTAGTTACTATATAATTACTTAGTTACTGCTCTTAGTTACTGCTCTTGTTATACTTATATTACACAGTGGCAAAAAAAGTTTTTTAGCAAAAAAATTTTTTAGCAAAAAAATTTTCGGCCAACAGGCATACTGGTCAAGATGCCCAATTTCTGTTTTTCTGAAACAAAAACGTTTACTAAAAAAAAAAAAAAAAAATTTTAAATACATCTTGAGGCTCCTGAAACCTCGCAGTTTAAGGCTGCAAGTTTTAGGAGTCTCAAGATGTATTTTAAAAACTTGGGCTATTGCTTGAGGGACAGTAAATGTTGTTTACACTGGCCTTGCTGTAGTTAGGCCATTGATACTACACGCAGATAAAGATATTTACATAAACAGTTCAAATTTTTCATATTAAAGTGTATATATTTTTCTTATTAAAGTGGCAAAAAAATCTTACAAAAATAAAGCATCCTCTTAAAATTTCAGAGCTACTAAATCTGCTAGACTTGGGGTTGTAGTCCCGATAATCCAGATCTGGTATAAACTTTCTCTCCTTCGTTTTTCAATAATAAAAACTTTTACACATAAAGAAATAATAATTATGCCAATTATGCTTTTCAAATAGTCATCTCTTTGCCATGTTTCAGATTTGTCTGAATTCTTTTTTTCATTATTGTTGTACAAGATCAAAATTATTGTAGAATTAAATTTACATAATTATTTTATATAAATTACTTTTAATTTACTTTACCAACTATATAAAATGCAAGCTTATGTAATTTAAATTTTATTTTATATAATTTATTTTTAATAAAGATTTGTTAATACTTTTAAAATGAAAAATTCCTACTTAAAAAATATTATTTTATTTGTAAATTTAATTTATATTTGCTAGCATATTACTTTTATGTAACTTACTTTCATATGCAAGTTTTTTTTTTTAACATAATTTTTTTTTAATTAGTTACTTTTATTTGTAAATGTAAACTACAGTTTGAGGAACTTTTATATTATGTAACGTAATTTTCAAAAGTAATTAAATGTACAAGTAAACAGCTGTAACTTGTAAACATGTAACTTTTATATGTAAAAGTAAATTACTTCTTGAGGTAATCTTCTTTTACATAACTTACTTTTAAAAGTAAAAAACTTACATTATAAAATAAAAGTTGTTTCAAAAAAATTAATTACTTATACGGAAATGTACAAAAATGTTGAACATTTAAAATTCCTCTTGTAATTTACTTTTTGAAAAAAGTTAACTTACTTGTATAAGTAAAAAAATAAATATATATCTAATAAGTAATGAGTTAAAAGGTTTGTGGAGATCACAAAGTTTGTGGAGATATTATCCCAAAAATGATTAACTTAAAAAAACTGCTTATTAGAAAGTTTAAAAAAAATTCCAAAGTATATCTTTTCCTAAAGATATTTACTCTGTAAGCTAATAAGATCAAATTTAGTTATATGAAAAAACTAAAACAAACTTGAAAAGAAACTTGTTAGATTAGTTTGTTTTTTGTATCCATTGTAGTTAATAGGATAAACATTTATTCTAAAATTATTATGTTCTTCATATAAATATGACTCATCAATAAGATTGTTGCAAACATCTGCTTCAATAACTTGTATTTGGTTGTCTGCTACCTAAATAGAAGTAACATTAAAATTTGTTTACATTTACACAATATATTACACAAATATTTTTTTTTCCTTTCTTCATTATTATCATTTAAAAAGCTATGATCCCTTTCACTATCATCATAAAAAAATATCAATTTCTACTATCATTTAAAATTAAGAATTAATTTTTATAAACATTTTTTGACAATATATAAGTAAAAACATATTTAAAACATATAATGTATCAAATATAAAACTAATATATTTAAAACATATAATATATTTCATATAAAACTAACATAGTTAAAACATATAATATATTACATATAAAACTAATATATTGAAAACATAATATATTTCATATAAAACGAACATATTTAAAACATATAATATATTACATATATAAAACGGAAAGGAAATATTTAAAAGATTGTAAAAGATTTAAAAAAAAAAATTATTTTTCCATGATTAAAAGGAAAGTTTTGATGTATAAAAACAACTAAAACCCAACAAATAATTTTCTAAAATATTTTTTAAACGAAATTTTTTATAAATTTAAAAATAAAATGGCAACTATGCACAATTAGGACCTTAAGGACACAAATAGTGAGGAAAAAAGTTTGTATCATTAAAGTTTCAATATGCTCCCATTTATCCTTTTTATATCACTATTTTAACAGATTTGACAGCCAAAGCTATGGCACAGACATTATAATATCTTTTGAACTAAGAGTGGTTTACCTTGTTTTTTTTAAAAACTGAAATCACCTCTCCAAGGCTTGGAGCTAAACAAGTCACTACAATCAAGGTAGCAACTAGTTTTTTTTTAATAGTTGTTATTTCTCATCATTAAAAAAAATGAAAAATACTAGCAATGATTTAAAATTGAATAAATTTAAAAATGTATATACGTATGTGTGTACTTACTAAACCTAATACTGTTTCCTGTTGAAAAATTCCATTTTGATTTGTAATTGTTACCAAGTATATGCTTGATACAAGATTGTTATTTGACATGATGTAAGGCCATTGAAAGGTGGAACTCAGAAACTGATTGTCAACATTTGATATATAAGAAGATAAAACATTGGGTAAATTGGTACCATTTTCAACATCTAAAGTTGAGATCAAATTTTTATATAACAAATATAAAAGTAAAAATACTTTGCGAAAGTAGTAGTAGTAGTAGCAGCAGAAGCAGCAGCAGCAGCAGCAGCAGCAGCAGCAGGAGTAGTAGTAGTAGTAGTAGTAGTAGTAGTAGTAGTAGTAGTAGTAGTAGTAGTAGTAGTAGTAGTAGTAGTAGTAGTAGTAGTAGTCAGGGGCTATTCTAGGAAAATAATTTGGGCAGTGTACCCCCAAGTTAACATCTTTTTTTTCCTTTCTTCATTATCATCATTTAAAAAGCTATTGCTTTCATTGTCATCATTTAAAAAGCTATGATCCCTTTCATTATTATCAAAAAAAATTGTTAACTTTTACTATCATTTAAAATTAAAAATCTAATAATTAAGTTTTTAAGAACAATTTTTGAGATACAACATAAAAGTAAAAATACTAAAGCCATGTAGTAGTATGGCTAAAGTAGTAGTAGTAGTAAAAAAAAAAAGCCCCTGGTGGTAATAAAGCCTCATAATGCATCACTAATGTAGAAAGTTAATTAAAAATTGATTAGTGTCTACTCCATATTAGTGTCCTCTTCCTACCTTAGAGAAATAATTACATATAAAGTAAAAACACAATGATGATGAATAATAATAAATTTAATATGTAAAAACTTACTTTGTTTACCATCAAACAATTTCGAATAAAACTGACAGCCAAATTGACATGTTTGAGAAGCCTAAATTATATTTTAAAAAAATATTCAAGTAAAAGGAACTTTTACTTGAATATTCTTTATCATAAGAGGATAAAAACAGTAAAAATATAAAAATAAAATGATATCAACTGTAATATAAAGCAAAATAATATAAAATATATAAAGTTTATAGGAATGTCATCTAATTGTGTTAAAGTATGCAGTTCAAAAAAAAAAAGTGATATCACATTTAGCAAAAAATATGTTAAGTATATTTAAGTATTAATAGATTAATAAAAGGTAATTGTACATATCAATAAATACCTAATAAAAGGTAATTATACATAAATAAAATTAGATCAAATGAAAAACCATATAAAATAAACCAAATAAAATATCTAAAGCGAGTACACAAAATAAATGTGTAAAAAAATAAAAACTTCAAATTAGTTTTTAAAATGACAAAAGAAGAAGACATAAGAGAAAAAATTATGCACAAATATTTGGAAAATCCCAATAGTAGCTACAATTTGATAGCAAAAGCCTTGCAAATACATCCATACACCGTTAGTCGTGTAATCCAATGTTTTTCTTAAACAAAATTGATCAAACGTAAATCTGGTGGTGGAAGAAAGAAGGGTTTTAAAGATAAAAAACTAGTTAGAAAACACATAAATAGTTTTAAAACTAACCCAAGCCTTTCACTAAGGGAGCAGGCAAACATTTATGGACTTTCTCATAGTTTTGTTGTAAAAGTTTAAAATAAACATGGTTTTCATTCTTTCAAAGCACAAAATGTGCTCAACCGATCTGAAACTCAACAAAAAAATGCAAAAACCCACTGCAGAAAATTGTATGACAATTTTATTTCTAAAAATTTCTGTATTATTGAAGACAATGAAACTTATACCAAATACAATCATCAGCAAATTTGCCGTCTATTATATTGCCATTCCTGGTGCTGTCTATGCCAGCACCAGGAATGTCTATGCCAAGTGTAGAGGAAAAGCAGATAGGAAATTTAAATATATAAAACATAGAAAGTTTGTTTAAAAAGCCTTGATTTGGCAAGCTATTTGCAGTTGTGGAAAAAAAAAAAGCACCTTTCAATTTCTCAGTCCACAATTTTGGGTCAAATATATGTTAAAGAGTGTTTACAAAAACACCTTTTACCTCTCATTCTGGCCAGATTTAGCTTCAATTCATTATTGTAAACTAGCTTTGGAATAGTAAAAATAATAATGTGAAATATCTGCCTAAAACAGATAATCCTCTAAACTGGCCAGAATTAAAAGTTATTGAAAAGTACTGGGCCATTATTAAAAAAAAAAATGAAAGAAACAAAAAAAATTTGCAGAAATATTAAAGATATTAAAACATCATTTTAAAAAAGCATCAAATGGCTTCAATTCTTATTCTGTGCAAAAGCTTAAGGGTACCACCAAAGCAAAAGCTCGAAATTTTATTAGATTTTTACAGGAATAATTTTATTTTATTTTTTTTTTTTTATATTTGATCTTCTTATATTATTGTATTAAAGTTATTACCTGGTTGGAAATAAAATTTAAAGTGTACTTTTTTTAGTTGTTTTTCTACTTTCAGATTTATTTCGTGTACACAAAATAAATCTGAGAGGCCACTAGCAATCAGAGAAGTCACTAGCAAAGGAGTGAAGTAAAGTAGTGGACTCATTAGGAGTGTTGTCAATTGTATCAACTGTAACAACTGTATTGCAGGTATGTTACAGTAGTTGCCATATAGTATTGATATATAGATCTTTAAAAATTCAACATAGTGATGCTGATAACTATTTATTAACATTATCTTAATCTACAGATGTTAAGAAAATTGATCTAGTATATTTACCTTTTTTATAGACATAATGGAATCTTGCCATGTTTTCTTTATTATAAAACTACTTTCCTATATCTAAATACCAAGTAAAGACATAATGACCACTAATAATGATTCAAAATGGTAATTGAAAATTGTATGCCAAAGATTCAAAATTGGTGGCTGAATTTGTCTGCCAAAAATTCGGGATCATCAGTGTATGATTATAAAGATTTGGGATGTATCATCTGTTATTATAAAATTCAAATTATTATTTAACAACTTATACAAAACAGTCCATTACTAAATTGACTCAATAAATAATTATTAAGTGAATCTGAGATACATATTAGGTGAATTTATGTAATAAATTCACCTGGTATAATATGTAAAATCTTTAAATAATAATAATTTTGAAGTAATTTAGACATTACTTCAAAATTATTATTATTATTTAAAGATGTAGCATTTGTGAAAAATGTTTTTGCACACTTTAATCAATTATGTAAAAACATTTTACATATTTGAATAAAGTTGCTATTGGTTTTAAAATTATGATTCTAAATTTTTAATTTTTTTATTTGTTATTAATGTTTGTTAAGACTTATGTTTGACAAAGATGTTATCTATCATCATTTTAGATATTGGTTGCTAACATTTTGTGTTTGAATTTTATGAACAAATGACGAAAAATAGAAGTTATTTATGCTGTTGCAAAAAAAAAGTTTGTTAAATTCTTTTATTAATTAGTTGCTTTTTGGTATTGTAATTATTGCATGACTACAATTCCTCTTGAATAATTTGTATTATTGGAAAAGTATTAACAATTGCAACACTACAATTCCCTTGGACAAACTGCACTGAATAATTCCTTTGGACCTGATTTACCCATGAAGATGTTCATAAATGAAGGTATATAATAGCTGTAGCATTAACTTTAGTTTTTATAACAATAGTTTATATATAAGAAATAATAAATACTAAAACAGAATTGGTAATTGCTATTTTAATGAATTTAACTACCTAATTTTTTCTAATACTGTAAAAAAAAATCAATCTTATTATTGTTTTTAGCTTTGCACTTTACTCTTAATTGTTTCGAATTGAATCTTTTAGTTTTGGTTTAATCTAGGTTGATAAATACTTTTTCATTTGAATCTCTTAAGTCTTTAAATTTTCTTAAACATCATTAAAGATTTCTATAAATGCTGTTGTTTAAACTGTTGTTTGATTTTTAAAGTTTTGTACATTAAATTTTGGAAATTAAATTTTTTTATTACCTTAACTATTGAAACTTTTTTTTCTTCTTTCTTTTTTAGGATCAGTATTATGGGTGCAGTTGGTCCAAAAATAACGTTATTATTCAAATTTTTCTCTCTTTTTTATTTTTATTCATAACAGAGCTGATAATATTAATTTCGTTACTTCATTTTTTATCTTTATATCAAATAACTTTTATCTAATGTGTTACTGGTTTTCCGAAATTCTAACATTTTCAATTTTTCAAACAACATTTCTCTTTTTTCAGAATTTTATTATTCTGACTATTTTACTCTTCATGTCTAAATTAACTGTTCTATTAGTTATCTCTTCAATTGCTTTTTGAGTAACCATTTTGCAGTTTTAATACACAGAAACTAAGTTTAAAATATTTTGTATTTTTTTTCTCACAAATATGTCCAACATCATTGGCAAGACCAAAAAATTTAACACTTAAAAATATACATTCTTTATAAAATAATAAAGTATAAAAGTATGTTAATAAGTTTTTATCTGCTCCTTTTTTATCTTTAATTCGAAGAAATAATTTCAAGAAAACATAACTTGAAAACAAAAAATCCTTCTTTCAAGCTTATTTTTTAAATTTTATGCAAATTATAAAATAAAAATTAATGTAGAGTTTATAGTTAGTGTAATTTTTGAAGATAAATTTTATTTATTTATTATAACTAAAACATTTTATTTATTAAAATTAAAACTTACAATGCATGCTGACTCGCATCTTGATAAATTAAATGGCAAAGGTTGTTTGCAGACTGTCAAGCACTAGAAAAACATATCTATTATGTAATATATACACACAATATTTTAAACAGGCATTACCTAATCAGGTAATGCAAGAGAAAAATTAGCTAATTTCTCCCCTTTTTTTCAGGATTTATATGGCTAGTTTTTATTTTATTTTGAATTTTGATTTATGATTAATCTGATAAAAGCATTTAAATTTTTTTAAAATGAAAAAAAAAAATTTCATAGTAACAAGTCTTAAGATTGAAAAACCAGACAGTATGTATTTTTAGTATTTTGAATTATCTAAGATGCTAAAAATAGTTATAAACTTTATAAAGAAAAACAAATAATCCACCCCCTGTTTATTGGTTTGGAAAAATTAAAATTTTATATATAAGGCGATCAATTGTGTTCTTTTAGGTAGGAGAGTCTCTTTTTTTTTAAATCCTGCTCTATCAGTTTCCTTCTGCTTATTTTTTTGATATTTTAAAAATAACTTCAATATCTTAAAAATAATTGCAACTAAACTGTTCCACATGCGTGATTTCAAACTAGTTAATTTAATATGCTTGATTCTGTCTTAATATTCTTGCTATTTAACTCAATTCTTGGCTTGGTTTGCATTTTCTTAATGCGAGAATTCACTAACTCTTATTCCATTGTTGAGTACTTAAAGGTTACTGTGATGAAGTAATTGCAGAAGACTTGAAAAATGCAAAACTTGTAACATTTTTATCTGATATCTTAAAATAAATTGTATCCAATACTAATAATATATTATGTTACTAAAGATATTCAAGTAACTGTTTTAAATTTAGAATCTACTGAGGACAAAACCGTTGATATTTTGTCACAACACCTATACAGGTTAATAAATAAAAATAATTTGAAGTCTAAAGTTGTTGCACTAACAGCTGATAATATTAATACAAATTTTGGTGATCAAAGATGTAAAGAAGTAAACAATGTGTATATAAAATTACAAGACTTATTTTAAAAAAAATTACTAGGAATCGGTTGCAACGCATATATTTTTTCAAATGCAATTAACGCAGTATCAATTGCATTGCCAATTGATATAGAAATTATAATAACCACAGTTTATTTGTATTTTAGTGGTTTTACTGCCCGTGTGGCTACTTTAAAACATTTTTTCAAAGAAGCGAATGTCAAATTTAAAAAACTCTCTCTTCAAAAAACTTTTAAAAATTTAGATGGCTTGTTTTAACACCTGCTATACTGTTAAATTTTTTATATATCAAATGGGTTGAAATAATTTTATTATCAAATAATTAGTATATGCTATACTAATTATTTGAACCCTCCGTTTATATTTTTAGAAAAATGTTTTTTTTTTAATAATGAATTATCAGAGATATTTATACACTTTGTAAACAATCAAGCAACTTTATTTCAGAAAACAATTTAAAACAAAAGTGGTAATATATCTACAGAAGTTAGTCTTATTTAATCTTATATGATTTTATTTGGTATTATATGATCCATTTTATTCTTCTAAATCTGATTTGAAGATAGTTTGATTCATTTAATGATAAAAAGAGATTAAAAAAATTAGGAGAGTAAATTTTAAGAATAAAAAATAAATTTATTAAAGAAGTGCAGAATTTTTATCAAACATACTCATTTATTTGTTAAATCAAGTTAGATTAGCAGAACAAAACTCGAGTCAACAACATCCAAAAAAAAACTTGATATTTTCAAAATATCATTAAAGCATCAAGAATCAATCCAGAATTGCTGCTACCAAGGTCAATAGTATCCTTGGAATCTTAAGACACACCATTGTCAGCAGAGATACCAAAAAATGGAAAAAGACTTACTTCACCTATATATGCCAACATCTAAAGCTACAAGACGAAATGCATCAAACTCAGACTCACCTCTTTACTGAAAAGTCATTTACACAAGAACCTCTTCAAAAAAATGCAAAACTGAGAACAACATCAACTTAGCTGGCTTATTGCTCCACCTTAACATCCATAAGCTACAGTCATTGTAAGCATTTTCATCATGAAATAGACAATAATTACCTTTCAACTTTTTCAACAACCACGTCACTCACATCAACTCACTATCCAACAAAGTTCTCAGTGCTATCAGTGTCAACTACTACAAAGCAAAATTTAATTAACTATTATATATTTAATTTTACAATGAAAACTAATTTTTACAATAAAAAATATTTCATTTTTGGCTTGAAGACAACTTAATTAAAACTAATGTTAAGTGTATTTTTTATTTTGATAAAATAGTTCTTTGTTTATGTAATTTTTTTTTTTATAATTTTTTTGTCCTCCTTTTCATTGTAAAAAAATGGTCACTTTATTATATATAATTTTAGTGTAAATAAAGTCAAAATGAATAACAAATGAACTGAATAACAAATAAAGCATGTTTTGATTGTACAGAATTTTTTTTTTTAACGCCTTCACTTCCAACAAGGCAACTTTATTGGTGTTGGAAGTTACTGAAAGAGAAGAGATGAAGTTCATATAGCAAAATAATGATTGACAGATGACTTAAAAGATTGCAAATTATATGAAAGAGGAAAACAAGATGAAGGAAACGAATTTTAAAGAACTGGTATTCAAGGAAAGAAACTAGATAAATAAAAGTTTTTGGAGCACTTAGGAACAGTCATTGAAAAAGGATGAGACTTAATTGAATGACAAATAACTCAAGAATGAATATTAGTAGATGGCACAAGAGACGCTAGCTTTTTATAGCAGTGCCCACTATCGCATTTGTAATTATGTGATAATTATTAGAGGTTGGCTTAAGGTTAAATAAATCATTGAGTACATTACCGTTTATATATAGGAAGATCTAAATTATTGCAATAAAGATTGGCTGAAAAAAATTGAGTTTTATCCGAATTAAAGTTCATCAGCCATTGTGAGCCCTATATTGTAGCAGAAGTGAGATCTTTTTTAAGCTCAAAAACCCCCTGCAAGCAATCAGAGAGTATTTATTTCTTATCTTGGCAAGAATAAATGGAAGTCAGTGATCAATACCATCTTAGATGCCAAAATATCTGGAAGATTTTTATTGTAAACTAAAAAGAGAATAGGGCCAAGGATTGAACCTTAAGAAACCCCTGAAGTTACACAACATAAAGAAGAGTGCTTTCCTTTGAAGATAACTTTTATACTACGATTGAAAAGGAAGGATTCAATAATCTTAAAGATGTTACCAGATGCACCATAAAAAGAAAACTTATGGAAAAGACCAGCATGTCAAACTTTATCAAAAACTTTTTAAATGTGATTAAAAAAATTTAAAAGCAATAGCTTTAAACCCTCCACCTCTATCTAATGCACTATAAAACCTATTGGTTATTAATGATAGCATATCAGCTGTAGAACAAAAAGATTGAAATTCATATTGATGATTGGAAAGTAAGTTGTTAGATTCAAGATAAGAGATTAAGTGTTTGTTATTTAAAGATTCAAAAATTTTGCTTATGAGAGGAAGAAGACTAATGGGAAAATAGTTAGATAAGTCAGATCTCTTCAGAATATTTGAAAATAGGTTTATGCTGCTTTCCAGCAGACTGGAAAACAAGACTCTAATAAGCACTTGTTAAATAGTTTTGAAAGTTTAGACAGCAGCTCTGGAGAAAAATTCTACAAAACAATAACAGGTATGTTGTTGGGACCACAGGCTGTAAAAGAGTCTAAGCAAGAAATCATTTTAGATACAGAAGCTAGAGTGATATGAATGTGAAGCAATGGATCAACCTGTTTGTTGGCTATATCAGGTAGAAGACAACTAGTGGAATCAAGAGATGAAATTGATGAAAAGTTCTTAGTAAAAAATTCAGCTTTGTTTTTAGGTTAGGTGACGAAATCTGAACCATACAAGAGAAGTGGAATAAAATATTCTCTAGAAGTCACAAGAGCCTAATTTTTGAAATGAAATACAAGATTTCATTACCTGAGAATAGCGGGCTTTGACATTAGACAAACCTTTTTACAATCGTTTCTAGCAATAGTAAACAAATGTCTGTTTTCTGGTGAATAGTTTTGCTGATAGATATTGGAATAATGGTTTCGATTGGAAATTGCAGCAGCACAATGTTTAGAAAACCATGGAGAAGAGTGAGGCCTGACTTAGAATCATCAATAGGTAATAAAAGATTCAATGCCACCCTGAATCCAAGAAGATTTGTAAGATGTACACTTGTCAGCAGGAAGAATTGTAAGTAGTTATTTATATGCAGCATATTTCCTAAGATTCAAAGTTTCTAGTAATAATACAAAATTAAATTCTCAAAAATTTAGATCTTAAAAAACTTCAAAAAAATCCTTTAAAATTTAAAAAGTACCTAAAAATAGCCAAAACCACTAGAATAAAAATGCAAATTTTTTTTTACAAAATTAAAAAAAAGACTATTACTAAGTTTTAAGAACAATTCTTATTAAAATAGGATTTAAAAAAAACAAGTTTTTTTTTTAAATTTGTAAATGACTTAATTTATAATTTTATATTTGCTTTTAATATGTATTTATGGGTATGTATGTGCAATACATGTCAGAATAAAATTAATGTTGTCTAAAATGATATCCAAATTTGGTTAACAAAAGATTTGCCGATCAAAAATGTTGCTTTTGGGAAAATTTTTTGAATAACTACAAAAAAAAAAAAGTCATTAAGCAGTATAGAAAAAAAGATATATGTCTAAGAAAATTTTAAAAATGATGATCTTGACAAGATAGTTTAGGTAAGGTGAAGATATTATTAATTTGAGTGTGCAATGCTATTATATGTGTAATATCTAAGTTTAAAACTTTTGTTTACATTTAACAAAGTCTGATTATATTTCTATGAAATATTTGTTTCTTGATATGATGTTGCTTTCTTAAAAAATATCTCAAATAGTTTACTATTTAGTTATGTATAAATGTTTAAATGTATAAATACTTTTAAAAGTTGTAATTTCAAAGTTAATTGGATAAAGAAGACTATTAAGACAAATCCTAGCCATAAAACCATATAACCATAAAACTGAAACCAAAATTAAAAGGATTTCAATTTTGCTAGCTGATGTTCAAGCATTGGCTTTTAAGATTCGCCACAAACAACTTTATGATTAAACCTTTAAAACATTGAAAATTGTTTTAAAACATAACCAAATTACAATCTAATATTTGTTCTAGAAAAGAATGTTCAATACAAGATACCTTAAGATTTGATTTTGTTTTGATGTGCTAACTAAATATTTAGTTTATCATCTTATCAGGTTTGGGCTCTTGAGCAAATATCAGTAACAAAGTCAGAAAACTTAGGAAAAGCTTAGGTTATTGGTACAAATTAGATGAAAAAAATTTAAATATTTTTATTAAACATCTTAACAAATAAAAGCATGCCATTAAGTATAATTAATATTATCTCACTCCCTTTTTTGAATGTCTTTAAAACTATATATATGTTAAAGCTTTGATGACACTTTAGATAGATGATTCTAAGTAAATGAATTCTACCATCTCTTCACAAAACTTAGCTTTATTCTATGGTCAAAAATTATGTTTGAATTGATATCATTTTGTGATAACAAGTCAAATTTGTATTCTATTTGTCAAGTATCATAAATATTGTTTTGGAAGAATTCAAATAAAGTAATAACTTTTGAGCAATGTATATATGACACATATATATGAGCAATATATATGACAAATTGTTTGACTGTGTCAGACAATTTGTCATATATTGAAATCTATTCAACTTAATATCTGATCCATCTGGTGCTTTAAGGCTTTCACTTCTTTGACAGACTAGAATCTGTGAAATATTAATCAGAGATGTTCTTAAAGTAAAAG